AACTTCTAAATAATCTAGCAAGGTGACATAAGGATCCAACAAAAATTTGCCCATGACATTAAGTTGACAACGTGATTGATTATTCAGATAAATACATCTTTCAGAACTAGAAAAAAATCCTTCTTTCTCAGTCACACGGCTTAGCTGCACCTATACGGCGTTTCTTTCTAAAGTTCCATATAACACTGCTATCCACAATGATATTTGATAGTTTTGTAATTTTGGCCTCATAGAGATTCTCAAAACGCAAAATACGATACTCATTATAAATCAAAATATACCCAAGATTGTCTGTATAGCATTCGCCTTAACTCCTCACTTCTTCACATCACATACATGATTTGATACTTTGATTTGTAAGAAATGTCATAGGTGGTGTTCATGTGTCCAATGTGATTTGGTGATTTAGCACTTACAGCTTGCATCCCTCATCATCCCAAGGTTCCAAAAAGATTCTTCGGGGACCTGCTCATAGCAAACGAAGTGTAAAAGTCCTACATCAATGGAGAGATCAAGTGCTAGAATTCGTGACACTCATCGGCATGTGGACTCCGCACCATGCAGCTCGTAGGACTTTCCCCAACATAGAAACCAAGCACGTTAGGGTGCATCGACATGCCAATGCATGATAACTCTTTCCACCCGGATTAGGCGCAATATTTCCCTCGTCTGATGGGGTCCTCCCATCTTATTTGGTATGTACTTGGCCCCTTGGACGATTAGCCGGAACATTTCTCCTTTCCTAAGCACAGGTATTTTTGCAAGCATTAGATATCACAACGGTATCAGCACTTTTGTATTTAGAATCATAATTACAATAATTTCAGATGGGATCTCTGCTCTATCCTGCACCGAGATGGTTCGGAGGCACTATTACTCTGAATTGGGATAACCACCTCCAACCTGTCAATCCAAAAAAAAAAGGAAAGAAAAAAAATATTATTGTTTGGTATTGGATTTGGCTAGATGCGAGTCAAACTACGACCAAATGATAAAAAATAAAATCTTTAGGATATTATGAACATATTTGTATAATAGCTCTTAGCAGTTTCATGCTTTTAAGGATTAAAACGCAAGATCTGCGTTGGATCATTTTGCTGTTGAGATAAAAACCGTGTCTTCCACCCTTGACCAAATATTATCAGCGAGTATGGAGAAGTATCGCGAAAAAAATACTAAAAAGCGATGACTAGAAAGACAAAGCAGCCAAATATAGATTTTTGTAAGAAACTGCTCAAAATGAAAAGGTTTCTTAAGCTTTGCAAAAAAATTTCCTTCATCCGTAAAAATTCAGCCGAATTATAGTCTGTTGAGCTTGTTATTTTAACTGGCCATTCGTACCAAGCCAACATTACAATGCACTTCATTTCTCTTTATATATCTCTTCTCTCTTCTCTTTCTCTTTAAATATCCTAATGATTTGAGAATATCTTGAAAGTGGTTTCATGCAACTCTCAATCTGTAACATACATTTGAAAAAGTACACAGCTTACCCTCTGTTCCATGAATGTTAAGAACCAAATATTTTCTTGTGTAAGGGAGTGATTAATATAAGGAGGTCAAAATTCTATTCATCATATCGTGAAAATTGTCAATTTCATCTAAAGCACAGGCAGGACTCGTGATTTTGATAGGATAAGTAGTAAAGAAACTTTGTTTATTCAAGTGAATATAGATGATAGGCTCAAAAAAATACTTTGGAGAGATCCAAGCGGATTTATATCGCATCAAATTCTATATCTTAAAATGTCTTATACTTTCAATGCATATTTTATAGCAGAACATCTTTTAACACGAAACAGTACTATTTTTCTGTATTCTGTTGAGGATTGCTTATTCATGAGGCTCTCAAAGTCAAATTCTGGAATCTCTTTTGACATCGAGAATGTGGTTCTTAGAAACTTCCACATATGCTGTAATAGCTTTAGGTATATGAAAGCCATGGCCCACTGCCCTCATTCCCCATTCTTTTGCCCAAATCTTCTCTGAAAGTCAAGGGATGCTCTCCGACATTTGGTCAATGACAGTGGCCAAAAGTAAGATGAATAAGCATCGCAATATGACACAGTCCCTTGGGAGCACAATTGTATCATGCTTTAGAACAGTCATGATGCTCTTACATGATTTTCGGAGAAATGCGTATAATGAAGTAGAGATCGAATTACAGTTGATTTGCATCCCCACTATTCATCAAGTATGGACAAAAAGGACAAAAAGGACCTTTTATACCAACAACAGGAAGCAAACATGGTACTATCATTGAGAATGTAGAAATTGAGAATTTCCACGGAAGCATAATTTTGTTGGAACATTTACAGACACATCATCTAGGTCAGTTTAATAACAACCAATTTAACAATGTTGGTATTCAACTCTTAACCTCTGAATTTCGGCGTGTTGAAAATATCATCATTCGAGCTTTTCATGTCAACCATGTCAGTCTGAGATTCACGAATCTCCAGAGAAATCATCTAACTTTGAAACTCTCCATCTTCAAAGAGAAGAAAATTTGTGAATATACTTTACGAAGTTATACTGTGATCTTGTCCAAAGTTGGCACGTGGAAGTTGAAAGAGAAAAGAAGCAATGACACTGATTAGCACTGAGATTCATTTCTAGAATCGAAGTTCTGCTAATGAGACGATCTTGCTACGTTCACGTTGAACCCGTGTCAAATTGGTGAAAATTAAAACAAAAATGTAGAGTAAGAGGGAGGGTATAAACCATTCTTGACCCTTGTCCATTGTTCAGAAAGAAGAGAGGCATTGTTCGAATTAGAAATGTTCCAAGTAGTTAGAGCCCCTTGAGAATTCGACTTCTAAGTTTTCATTATATATGACTTATAACTTCTAAAGGATACTTCATCGTTATTAAAATTTTCGTAAGTGTTACGATAGGCGATAGTGATATAAATGCCTATCTAGAAAGCCCTGACTCTTGTACCAAAAAAATCACGTAGTCACACCACCAAAGTTGCCTACTTCATACTTCTTGTGCTAAGACACTATAAGAGGCACTTGAAGATTAAAAAAAAATATTACGTGTGGTAAACCGACTAATGAAGATACAAACTAGGAGATTATTATCAATAATTGAGCATTTCAAATAAAGTGAACCAGACCAGATCAGTACCTGACAAAGTACAATGTGGCAAGTTGGGACTAGAATGTTGGTACGTAAGATGGTGCGTCGAATCGAGATCCGACCGAATGCATTCGCAGCAGGCACACGATAGCTCGATGGCATGAATCCACATCGTAGCGCTCGACACCAGCTAGCTACAAAGTTGGAACGATTCTTCGCGAGCTAGTGGCTTGAGCTTCTCTTGGGGCACGTTGGCATCGAAGTGCGACTATGCGAGGAGTTCCAGTAAACGCCTGATTCCACTAAGCCAGAGCAAGCAAAGAGGCGCCGCTAAGTACATGCGCATGTTAGCTGTACTGGGCGACCACTCTGGCCTTAAAAGGCACTCGGGCCACAGTGCGGCCTTGTCCAATTTCCTTCCGCTGCCACCGCACCAAATTTGGGGCGACGGAACTCATTCGCTGTCTCACGGACAGGCTGTAAAGTCGTCGACGAGCAGACGGACAGTTGACGAACAGTCGAACTTTGTCGTCGAGAACCGTCCGGCCAATGCACTTTCGTCGGGTGGTGTTGTGACGTCAGGCGCCTGCTCCCGGTGCCCTTCGCGCGCCTGTCGTGCTCCCGCGCTCATTCTCGACGTGTCTGCTCACGGCGTCTCGAGGGCTCCGCATTCTGGAGCTCCCGGCTGCCTGTAAATTTAGTAAGTCACTACCACGATGCGACGCTGTTCGTCTTTGGCAGACTACAGTACGAAGGTTCCGACCGCAGTTTCAGCTCGACTACAGTGGCATGACCACGCTCGGTTTCTGGGCCAGCTGCATCGCAGTAGACGGCATCAGTGCAACCACGTACATGAGAAAATGATACTCGGTGTCGATGGTCCAGTTAGTCCAGTTTAATATTTTTTGTGGACCATATGAGTATATGACCATATGAGCATTTTATTGTGGAGCATTTGGACTGACGATCGATACCCATGGACCAGTTAACAGTTCCACTCAAAGTTTTACATCAGATACATAAAACTCGGTCGATGAGAATATAAGCAAAGAGTGCCATGCCACGTCCACTTCACTCGAGTCCACACTAAGTAAGGTCAGTAGAGTACAGAAGAACATCGTGAAACCAAAACTACACGTTGTTCCAAGGAACAAAGATAGGCAGGCATACGGGACCATGTCACCACTGAACTTCGAACTCTCTGCACATGCACTGTGCTCACAGTGTATATCACAGTCCAGTGCTGTGCAGTGGTCGGCTCTGAATTTCTCCCACAATCTCCTGTTGAAGTTGGTGTTACCCAGTATGTGAGGGATTAGGACGCTCCAAATTCGTCGGAAGAACTCTGAACTCCTTTGCTGTAAGTCAAATATAATCCACGAATAAAGTTTTTGATAATTCCGTGTGATGAGAAACTTTCGCACTAACTTGTTGGATTAAACTCGCATCTCGTGCAGATGATCATACGGTCCGGGAATGTCCTGTGGCGATGGTAATATTCACACCCGCTCGTGGACACCTTTCCGAACGCCGATCATACCCTGCACCGAACTGTTCCGGCACGCGACTCTTGGATTCGCTCATATTGATTCTCATGCCATGCCAACTATGTCATGCCAGGCTCCTGAACAGTTCGCATCTGGCAGCAGGGATTGCAGTTCGCCCCGTGCACCCGAATTATGCGACCCCCAAACCTCGCAATTTCGAGATTAATTCGTGCCCACTATTATCTCTCCACATGTAGTATACGCGTTCATGGACTCAATTACACTCTTGCTCCCATGCCCACTTCGCAGGTCTAATCGACCGGAAGAATCTTCGGGTATTGAAAATCTGGCGTACGGAACAGGACCAGAATGCTCGCGTCTCGACTGCGGGAAAAGGTTGTGACGGCAAGAGGCAACGTGGTGGAGGAGAAAGAGGCGATGGCCAGATTTAGAGTCAATGGAGGGCGTGGGAATTCCTACGGGAACGGGGGCGGGAAGAGAGCAGCAGCACAGAGCCGCAGAGGGGTCGGTCGCAGACGAGACGAGCGCGAGAGCGAAGGGCAGCCAGGGAGTCGATCAGACAGTGACAGTGAGGAAGGAAGTGTGTGGGGGTGTGGGGGCGGGGGCAGCTGTCGAGCCAAGTGCACACGGCGACGGTGGCGAGGAACAAAGCGGGTGACCAGTGGCGCGAGTAGTGAGCTAGTGGAACAAGCTCGGCTTGAGCATGAGCGGAATTCTGCTGGGTGTGGGTCAGTGAATGAATCGCGAACATGCGGCGATGAAGGAAGGGAGGGGAGGGAGGGAGGGAAAGGGAAAGGGAACGCTGTTCGCGCTGCGGGTTTGAGTGGGTGGGACACTGGGAGGTGAGGGTGGTGGGGTCCGCGGAGGGCGCCTCACAAATGATCGTGGACAGCGAACGCCATGCCTTGTGCTCTGGGGAATTGAGGAAGATTCACCCTTTGGTGATATGTCAAGCGCGCGCAGAGAGCGTTGTCAGTACCCGAGAGCCGGCAACTTGGCTTAGAAGAGATCGGCACTTGATGCAGTTTAAGCACGTCCGGAGCGGAAACTGGTAGACGGATCCGTCTGCAGCTCCGAGCCAGCCTGAACGCGTCATTTGTCGAATCCTCAAAAGTTTGCTAGCTTAGCTTAGAACTTAGAGCATTAATTTCAGATTTTGTTAAGAGGTCGTGAGCTTGCGTGAACGAAGACGACAAGAGCCTGAGCGTCTGGCAGTCTGGTACCGCAGAGAGTAGAACAAGATCTACTCCTTGGACCTTTGACTGGGATCCGGCGCTCGGCTCAAAGTAGTTATTCCACTGTCAGCCCTTTGACATTCGAAGCAAGCGCATAGCAGACGACATCCTCTGGGTCAGCAGCTGAACTAAAATAAGCGCGCTTAGATTTCACATCATCTTCAGCCTGAACCATTGTGTTTGCAGTCATAAGAGTCCGAATTCGGACTCCCCGCTAGGTCGGTCGGTCGTCGGTTTGCCGAACGAACGAGCGATCAGGCCTGGAGACACGCTTGCTCCATTCAATTCAATTCAAGCGGTTTCGATCCAGCGGATTTGTGATCGACCCCTTCAATCTTGACATTCGAGGTAAGCCGCGCTCAGCTACGCCAATCCTTACCCCACATTGTCTTTTTCGTTTTTCACAGCCACTTTTTCGTGGTTCCCACGCAGTCTCTCACCATGAGGATCTCCGGAAACGCCCTTGGGTATCTCGCATTTCTTCAATTGTCCCCTCCCCTCCCCTCGCAATGCTCGTGCATTATCATCCCCGAAGGTCGTAGATCTGCTTGACAACAATCTGTGCTTCCCCATCCCCATCCCAATTCGTCTTCGGGGCTGTCATTCACAGGCCCCCCCCCCCCCCCCCCCCCCCACTCTCACTTCGAAGACACGTCTAGAATTCAGCATGAGTCGGCTGAATTGTACTCACATTCATCATCCCTTCCCTCCCTGACAGCGGTGGGCAATCATCATAGTACCGAGAGTCGTAAACGTACACAGATCTGGGACATTGTGTGAGAATCCAGAAGCGGTTCAATCCCCTTCTTCAGTACTAGAATTCTTACCGGGAGATTCATTATCGTTGTCAGTCGACTCGAGCAGTACGTACGGACGAGCCATTTGCGAGACGAACGAATGGCCCGGCAATATTGCGCTAGTAGTAAATTGTAGTAAGCCGTAGTAGTAGAAGTAGTAATATTAGTATTAGTGGTAGTAGATGCACGAGCAGCAGCTGCTGTTTTTCGTGAGCTGACATTGTGTGTGGTTGCGTGGGCGTGGTGCATGGTGCATGGGGCTGACAGGGGACGAGAGGAGCGCGATCGGTCCGACGTAGGAGCCAGTTCTGAGCCAGGAGTGGCCAGATCGGCACCGCAGGCACCCGCAAGCACGAGGCGGACGAGATGACCTCGAGCGCGGGCAGGCATGCGCTGGTGCTCGTTCTGGTGTCACTCCTGGTGCCCGGGATCTGCGAGGCGTTCTGGTGCGATGCGGGCGACAGCGAGGCGCTGCTGGAGTTCAAGGCCGGGTTTCTGGACCCGGGCGGCTACTTCACCACCTGGACGTACGGGACCAGCTGTTGCACTTGGGAAGGCGTGACCTGCTCGGACGCCGCGCGGGTTAGCAGCCTGATCATCGAGCCCACGTACCCTCCCAAGGGCGTGTACCCGGTGCGCAAGGACGGGTCACCGGACGGCTTCGGCGAAGCGCTGGGCCGCCTCGACGCCCTCGAGCGCCTGGTGCTGTGCAATGTGATCTTCGACGCGCCGGCGCCCAGCAGCATCGGCTCGTTGGCGCGCCTGACTTTCCTTAAGCTCGAGGCCAACCGGTTCACCGGGCCCATCCCTGCGACGTACGGGGGCCTAAGCGCGATCACCAGCCTGCGCCTGAACTCGGAGCTGACCGGCTCCATCCCGCGCGAGCTCTGCCGCCTCGTCAACCTCGAGAGCTTGGACCTGTCGAACAACCGGCTCGTGGGCAATATCCCTGCGTGCCTGGTGCACTGCCGCAACCTGACCGAGCTTGTGATGACCGGCAACGGGCTGTCAGGGCCCATCCCGACCATCATGGGCAGCTTCGGCAAGCTCAAAATCCTCAACCTTCGCGACAACCGGCTGTCGGGCCGCATGCCGGACGAGCTGTGCCATCTGTGGAACCTGAACTCGCTCAACCTCGCGGACAACGAGCTCGCGGGCTCGCTGTCGCCGAAGCTATCCATGCTCAAGAACCTGTTCAGCCTGGATCTGGCCCAGAACCGGCTGACCGGCATGATCCCGAAGGAGTTCGGTTCGCTGCCTAACCTCATGTTTCTGTCCCTGTATAACAACCGGCTGTCGGGGCCGATCCCGGTCGAGCTGGCGCAGCTGCCCCAGATCACCAGCATTCACCTGTCGCAGAACAAGCTGAGCGGCAGCCTGCCGACCGAGTTCGGCGCGGTGCCCGCCTTCCTGCGCCTGCACATCGACGTCTCGGGCAACCGGCTGTCGGGCCACATCCCCGACAACCTGTCGAACCTGGGCTCGCTCCGCGCCAGCGACAACTACTTCCGCGGGCGCTTCCCGTTGTGCCTAACGGCCGTGGAGACGGTGGTGCTGACGAACAACCAATTGACCAGCCTGTCGCACTACGACGCGCTGCCGGCGGGGCTCGACCTGGCCCTGACGACGCTGCGCCTGGACAACAACCGGCTGCACGGGCGCATCCCGTCGTGGCTCAACCCGGCGCTGACAAAGCTGCAGGCGCTTGACCTGTCGGGCAACAAGCTGACGGGGGAGCTGCCCTTCGCGCTGCTGACGCTGCCCAGCCTGAGCAAGCTCAACTGCTCGAACAACAAGCTGGCCTCGCACCTGCCCAACCGCAAGCTCGTCTCCAACGTGGACACGCTGGACCTGCACAACAACGAGATCTCGGGCGCCATCACGCAGGCCTTCCTCTCGGCCCTGCCCCGCCTCACGTACCTCGACCTGTCCTTCAACAAGCTCAAGGGCAAGATCCCCGTCGGCGCCAACAAGCCGCCCATGCAGTTCCTCGGCCTCGACGGCAACTCCTTCACCGGCGCCCTTCCCCGCGCCGAGGTCACTCTGTCCGAGCCCATTCGCAAGAAGAAGAGGCACCAGTACTACTGACCGGGCCCGACCGAATGACCGACCGCGACCGGCAGAGCGAGCGATTGAGCGATTTGGGGAGCGATTGAGCAATTGGGAGAGAGCGAGAGAACGAGAGGGAGGGGGGAGAGAGAGAGAGAGAGAGAGAGAGAGAGAGAGAGAGAGAGAGTGAGAGACCTCTGCCGGCCTCGAGTCTTATCACACTTCAGTAAATTTCTTTGTTGAACAGCACGAACGTAGCAGGCGCGTCGTCTTCGCCCCGTGACGGCGCGGGGTGAAGGAGCGGGCTGCTCGAGATTCGAGAGCAGGTCCGACCGAGTGCCTGCTATATCATTGAGAGAAGAAATGGATTGTCACTCCTGCAGACAGACAGACATACAGACAGACAGACAGACGACGTAGACCCGCCCGTGCGTGGTGGTGCCTCAGATATCCCTAGGCCTTCGATGTAAAGACTTTGTAGTCGCAGGAGTCATGAAGCTATCGCGACGATAACTTGTGCAATTTATTGCTCATTCATTTCCAAGGCTGAGCCAAAGATCAATCCAAGATTAGATTTCTAGGACTTTACTGGAGTTTTTGTTGTGATTGCAGATGATACGATCGTACTCGCTGTTGAGAGTTCTCTTGAGATGTGACGGACTTTCTTTATCCAGTAGACCATTGTTCCAGGATTCTTTCCATGCACCACTTTAGTTCCGTGGGGTCATAAAACTTGTAATCAGTTAGCTATAAAGTTGTATATTACCAGTATAGATCTGCCAGTACACGCGCCTGTCCTTCGCCCCGTGTACTCTCGATGACACTTGTTCCGTTACTCCTGTCAGTACGATACGCTTGACCTTAATGTGAACGTAGGCTAGGCTTTCCATAATCTAACACCATTATTTCAGATTGATTCAGTTTCGAATTCAGATTCAGCTCTAGCTCTAGCCTTTTCATCTTCTCGTGCTGAATGCCAGAAGCTACATCGTTCCTGTGAGAGTGCGCAGCGCTCAGGCACCTTCTCAATCTCAGTACTGGCGCTCATGCCTGGACCTCAGGAGAGTACCGAGCAAATGTACGCGTTCATTTTTAAATTAAGAAGCATATAGGTAAGTCCCAAGCACTCGCGGAACGTCAATGACCTGCTTGCCTGCAGCCTCGACTGCACACAGCGTCACTTTTTTGGATGCCGAGTTCTTTCTCTTATTAAATCAATCGCAATCACGATCTCTTTGGATTGAACTGGACTCTCTTCTAGATCTGTGGATTCGTTTCTTTTCTTTGCATGAGCATTGGCGTCACTCGCTGCATTCACCGAGCTCCAATGCAGCTTCCGAGTTTTGTTGTTCAGCCTGGATCGGCCTCAGTCTCGAGCCGGACTCTCGATAGCTGGTGGCCAATGTGGCCGACGATGTGATTACCCGTGGTCCAAGAGCGAGGAACGAGGTATCCTCAAATCAACATCGATGGAAGAGTTCCATTCTTAAAGTTTTCCTAGGAGAAAGAACCTGGAGTCTCATGCTCCCTTGCTGTGCTTGATATGGATAAAAGTCCGACCCCGACATTGTAGCTGCGGAATGTGCGCTCGAGACTATCATGACGAGTACCGAACATGCCGCATAAGCAGAGCTGACGGAAGGCGAATTTGGCGTTTCCTGAGCAGTGAGGAGCTCCGTGGGCGTTCCATGATCGCTTCTCCGTGGTCATTCCCATCATCTGTGCCCGATCGTGTACTAGATTTGCCCCATGATGTAATTTGTGCATTCCAGCTACCCAGGTCGCTATCCTTGTGATGAGGAAGCGCGTTTGCATCAGCAGCTACAGAGAGTAGTGGCCTTTCATGGGGCATTGGTACCTGTTAAGCACTATTGACTTTCATCCAGAATACTGGCCGCAGTCACAGCGGCGCACAGCCTGGTGTTGATCAACGCAATGGAATGGAGCCCGATTTTGTCATTTCTTGCTCTCGTTCCCTCACAGTGCAACAGTACAGGACGACAGTTCGTAAATTGTGCTCAGGCGATTTTTTCGCGCACTGTGCTACTTATTGCCAGGAGATTCGACAACAGTGGGATGTCGTAAATGGGAGGCAAACCTTGCCTTCGATGATGTGAAACTCTGACGTGCACTCACGGAAGGTGTGGACGCACACTCCGTAGCCTCGCGTTATTTGTCTCTGTGCATGCGTTATTTGTCTCTGTGCATGCTCGTCGTTCGAGAATAATATTAAAAGTCGACAGAGCTTCATTGGAGCAGACTGCACGTAGACTCTGAGGCCAACACCTTCACTGGGCATTACAGGGCCAGTTTTGGTATTGGCTCTGCATCAACTTGCTAACTACGTATCAACGAATTCCACGTGATGGGTTTATCTCCCGTGATACTCTTCAGGTTTTGCTACGCATTTGCACAGCCAACCGTCGGGTTGGGAGTTCACCAAAAGACAGTTTGGCAGTGCGTTGTCGTCACTCCAGAACTAGCTATCCTCCGTGCGTTGCATGCTTCTAGTATACAATAACTCTTTTCACTCTCGCATTCCATCACAGAAGAATTTAAGATGCATAGCTGCGCGTTGAAAGTGCGGGCCAGGAGTGGATGGTAGTAGATGAAGTACAAACTTAAGAAAGCCTCGAATCTTTTAGGTTATTAGAATCTAATGTTCTAAGAGTGGGAGCGCAGAGACTCTTTCGTGTGTGCGAGATAATCCCTGAAGATAGTCCTCTCCTTACTCCTTCCAATGAGGTTTAGAGGCGCAACGAATTCGGATGCGTTATCGTGACACCAGTTCAAGAATATGTTGTTTCCAGCAACTCTTCCGGCAATCCCGACAATTTAGAGTGAACGAGTTGCGTTCATAGTTGGACTTCGAAGTTAAGAGAGGAGTCGTGATGCCTACGTAATGGTCTTCACTTTTAATGATCTTAGAGTTTATACATCAATATATGGTCTTCTACTCATACAGCAGGAAGTTGTTCGGAGATTCTGTTTGAGGTATCGAAGTACATGACTTGTGTCATCAGGACGCTGCTTAGGGCCTAATCAAGAGAATCAGTAAAATCAAGGAAAACATGGATTTCAACTGACTTCAGAAACTAAGCTTTTCGTCCAGGCCGTAAAATCCGAGCCACGCCAAGGTCGGTGTACCTTGAGAAAACATTGATTTGAACCAGTTCGACCGTCAAGGTGTGCAGACCTCAGCTCAGGTGGTGTCATGAGCTCTTAAGTTCAGAAGTCTTGATCATAAATTAAGCTTATCGAATAATCCCTGGCGACATAAATGATTCATGACCGAAACGCTATTGTTACAAATTTGAAAGATCTAATTCCACTCTCTTCTATGGATGGGTGCTATTTCTATCTCGTATAACTTTCCCATACTAGAAAAATATCTACATACTTGTGTTCAAAACTGGAGGAATCAACTCCTCGTCCACCTGCAGTAGAAACAGTGAACCGTGTGAGCTAAGATGCGTTTATGTATGTCAACGCATTGAGAATAGAAGAGCAAGGCAGCTAGGCCTGTTACCGAAGACGTGAGCTGGCAGTAATTCTGATTTATCAGCAAGTTATCAAGAGAAACGAGACAAGATGCGGCGAAGTATGAACTAGAGTGGGTGGGTCATCAAGAAGGAAGTGAAACGCAAGTTTGTAGCCTCGTGCTCTCAGCAGAAAGGGGCATGTTTCAAAAACTCTGGTAAAAGAAAGTGATAACTACCATCTCCTCCCCGGCGACCTCTTGGCCCTCTTGCTTCAAAACCCAACCAGAGTCTTCAAGCAAGTGGGCAATCTTGTCGAAGGCCTTCTTGTAAGGACCGATAAGGTCATCTTTCTGTGGATAGACCTGCTCAAATTCGACAAACCTTCACTTGAGAATTACAATCAAACGAAACAGTGCTCCTTTCCAAGCAGCATCGAGGCTTCCAGTGTGTCACAGTACCAGCTTTAACGTCAACGAGCTATTCCTCCGAAGTCAGCTTGTAGCAGTTTCTGTGGCCAATTAAGGTCCCGAACCACGAAGATTGGAGCTTGTAAAGAAAGGCAGTTGAAAAAAAATAAAAATTTGCGATGTCTACTGCTGAAGCTACAGAGCACATCAAAGACACCTCCTCTGCTTGCATCGATGCTAGCGCCGGACATAGAGTGCTATACTTGCCTATCGGATACATCTCAAGTGTTAAGAAGAAGCGTGCCCAAGTGGTCAATGAACTGGCATGTCGCTCATTCGAAACACATGCTTACAGTAGAGCATTGGAATAAAAACTGCAACAAAATCTTCAGAGCATTTCATTTGCCGCACTGAGACTGGAATGTACCTCATGATCAAGCATGCCCCTTACAACAAACAAGAACCTCGCTGCATCCAGATGGCCATCTTGAACCAGATACTCGCCCAGATAATCCACTTTCTCCCGAAATTGCTCTACCAATTTATCGTCCTCCGCAAGCATAACCTTCAAAGCTTCAGTCGTAACCTACAAACTCAACCACAGATGTATCAAACACTTGTTCCGGCACGTAATTCCGAACCAGTCTTAGGTCTAATATGTACTTCTCTGGTGTAAGACCTAGTCCCCTTTATTTCCCATCCCTCCTGCAAGATTGAATCTGATGTACCGATAAATAGATTATCGAATGAAAAATAAAAAATAAAAGGAAAGCGACTCAGTAGGAATTCCTCTCAGAACGATGCATCGATATTGGCAGTTCTGAGTGAGCTATATGCGCAATCATCAACGACAACATGATCGAATACAATTCTGGCATTTGATTTCCAGGTAACAATATAAACTGATGGAACACGAGTCGTGATTTGTAACTCTGCGAGAATTCTGTGTCATCAGCTGCGCCTCATTGCTCCCAACCGACAGTGCCAGAAATTCGGTGGAGACATTCTCACCTCGTTAAGACCAGCGCGCAGATCTTCATCCAGCTCATCTTCGGCACTGAAATCAGTTCCACTGGACTTTCTCTTGGCCAACAGGCAAGGGCAGAGTCTTCTCACGGACCGATCCGTTTCGCCGACTGATGTAAGCGACTCCGCACCACGGTATGTCCTCGCGGCGGTACCATGAATCAGGAATTGAGCCACACCGATTCGACCACTACTGATAGCTCGAGGTTGAGAATATGCAGTCGAATCTCCATAGCGTCCAGAGAAGACAGCGCTGGACGCATTGCTGACCAGGAAAACCGAGCCCTGCGCCCAGCAGACCATCTCCCTCCCCTGCTCAGCTGTCGATTGTAGTCATTCACGTGATTCTATTGCTTGAGGTTTCGCGGCTGCGCAATTCATAAACCCCGTGCCCGATTTGTGACTTGGCAGTGGCCATACCGAGCGGGACAGAGCGCTGTGCTCGGGATTTCGATGGACTGCGCCAGTGTCCAGGACTCCAGGTCTCCGCCAGTCATCGCCTCCCGCCGTTACCGGCTCTCAGATCGTCTGTCTTTTTTCGGAGACCGGAAACCTTCTACTGCAGTCCCACCATTTGTGGAAATAAATTCCTCCTCGGAACTCCAAAGCCTTACTTTATATGTCCAATCGGACCTTATCTCCTTCTTTCCTGGCACAGGAGTAGCGGAAAACTCACCTGTAACAAATCATTTGCATGGTTGCACATCAATTCTACTTTTCTTGCCTTGATTTCAGACAGACGATGACATCAAGCTAGATATCAATCTCAAATTTCAAGGTCCCGAGGTTACATACGACCTTTCTGAATTATATGTGTTTTGTTTTAATAAAGAAATGAGATTAAAAAAAAGAAATTATTATTATTATTACTACTTGGAATAAATAAATATTTAAAATTTAGTTAATTCAATTAATTATTTTAAAATATATTTTATTTTACAACATATTTCAAACAAAATTTATTGTTTTAAATATTTCTATTGTAGAATAATTTTTTTTAAAATGCATATCATAAATCATATATATATTTTAAAAATGTAGATAAATATAATTAGTTCTAACCATGAATGTTACATAAGATATTCAAAATTGTTTGTTATGATTCTCAAATACAAGATTGATCAAAAGTATAGATCTTTTTTTGATGAACAGTTATACATATCATAACCATTAAAAAAATTTCAAATGAACTACACATGAATTTTTCTAAATATTTTCTTCTTAATCTAATTGCATGATATATAAATAATTTCAAATTAAAAATAACCACAATATCTATGCATCATAGTATAAAATCTATTAAAAACCAAAATCTCAATAAACTATTTGAAATTTGAAAATATAAAATTATAAAAGTAGCAATATTTCAATTTTATCATGATTATTTGATTAAATCTATGTGTTTTGTATCCAACTTAATTTTATTATTGACATTGTAAAGAGCTGAAAGTAATTAAAGTGAGAGAAAACTACTTTATGAGATTGTTGCATACCACAAAACATTTGCTATATCCAACACAATACATTTTAGCGATTGATATCTTGGATAGTACACAGTCAACTATGTTCCAATATGAATTTTAGATTAGATACAGCCCACTTGGATCCTAGTGTGAGTCCCATATATAACTGTGGAAGTTTTGACATATGGTTCAAAAATTTAAAATCAATAACAATTCATACATAAAAGTGACTTCTTGGAAACTAAAGAGCTCTTGAAACGAAATATGCTTATGAAGCTTAATATGCTTATATTAAGAGCTAGACCTGAGCTTCAATTTATCAATATCAAGGTATGCATTTTGTCACAACAATCATATTTATGTTCTCATGGGATTACTTCAACCTCACGGCTGCGAGAGTACTTTGGCTCATAGTGGCAATCCCTCCACACTATAACATCCAACTTTCAAGTTACAAGAATTAGCATTGAAACATGGATGACTATGGGCTGCAGGGCCGTGAGGGTCCTATCAGATAAAATTATTCGTGGTGGATACCAACAAGTGTTTTGAGTTCCACATGGATAACATCAAATAATTTTCTCCTAAAATAGTTATGTAATATGATGTTTCACAATATGATATTAAAATTTAAATAATAGATTTATCTAGGTAAATCTATTATCATGTGCAAATATCTATATTTAATTTTAGAATTTGTTGATTGATTGATATGTGTGTTTTACTAATTATAAACTTTGAAATATATATAAAAGCTTAAAAATTCATAATTTATTACAATCATAGTTAAAATTATTACGCACATTTTTTAACTTTGAACATATTATTTTTAATTTTTTTTCCAGATTAAAAGTATGTTTTAAAAAACGTTACAAATTTTTTGTAGATTTTTTCATGATATTTATTTCAAATTTCATACGATATATACATATATTGAAAATTTAATCTCTTGTGATGTAGTTCATGAGACATCCATGTTCTCGTAAGGATATGAGTGGAACGGCATCAGTCAAGTATACGAATATCTAGAGGCTTTAACCATATATTATATTGACATTGGAGTTGCAAGAAGCTATTCTAAAACTTTGATGTTTCGATAAAACCTTGAAGTATAGCAGTGCAATTCACTTTCCTCGGATATTGTCTAACACATTTTAATCTCCATGTTTCAATTTCCATACAAATAATAGACCTCCTTCTTAGCAATCAGATCACGTCAAGTGATTCAGCAAAGAAGACTTTATTGTTTATCCCCATTCTAATCTAGATAGTTTCGATACTTTATGTAATAAAAAATATATTTCACACATTGCGATGACAATGGGACCTAGCCAACCGCAATCCCATTTTATTCATCATTCTTAGGGTTGATGGAGTCATACTATTATGTTTTAGTTATAAACTCGGACAATTCCTTTATACTTTTCAGAATCTACTTTTGCTATGTTTTTGGTTCCCCTTGTGAAAAAAGTAATTTATATTGTGTACCTCGAGGGTTCATGTGCAACACAAAACATCTGATTTGGCAACCACGTGGATGATTGCGAGGCTTACGTGGGGAAACGGAGGAAATGGAGGAAAGATGGGCCAATTGGTGACATAAGCTGCCGTTCTACGTAGAATCGGAATCTGTCAGCAGAGAATGGAGGTGAGTGGAAAGAGCTGCTTTTGTCTCGGTTGAATGCCACAATTGGCGATTAGGGTTTTCGAGGGATCTGCGGAAATTCTGCATTCTTTCCCATTCGTGTGGGATCGAGGTGAGCATCGAGTGGCGAAGTCGTCAGGCGTGGATCTAAGGAGAAAGACTGTAAATGTCCAATACGGAACGCTAGACTCGCACGCAGATTCGGATGGTCAGGCCGTGGTTTTGATCAACCCCGACTGACCTTGATTCGTTATGGCGCTGATGAGAATTGCCTCAGCTGCAGCAAAGCAGCTGGGTTTGGTCTTAGGTAAGTCTTCCGCAAACCTGAGATCGGATCGTGCTCTTCATTTTCTGAAATACATCGTCATTTTAATTCTTCTCATTTTCTGGTGAGAATGAAATATGGTAGACTTGCACTTAGTTGTTCCGATCCATATCCTGCTCTGAATGGAAGTGTTGAATAATATCTGAGAGTCTGGATGTGGATTTGAATTCCGAGCTTCGCAAGTGTCATCAATAACCATTGTATGCGGGGATGGATCACTAGTTTGATGATCGTAAATTTTTTTTACTTAGCTTGGATCTGAGTACGAGGTTGTCGTCTTAAAATTCCACACACCTCGGGATCGTCTAAAATCCTCAACCGTAGTCGATTGAGGTTTGTTTTATCTGCGGTAGTAGGGATAAATTAATTAAGAAGCATTTCATGTAGTAAATCTTTGTCCCGCAAAGAAGGCGAAATGTCAGATATGGAGAAGGCTGACTCTGGGCAGACAAGGGTTTAAGATTACATGACGGGGACATTTGCAGGGCCACAAGGTTTAGCGATTTATCGAGTCTTTGTTAAGGAGTCGAACGAGAAAAAACATTTTCAAGGGTCAAAACTGCGGCCGTAGTTCTGACCCATGCTTCGCCACAAGAATTTGTCGAAAACGTTGTGCCTAACCCATATTGTGCTCGTAACAATGACACTTGCTTTCGTGACCTTATGGCTAATGCTTTTGGTCATCAAAATCCATTGCAGGCCATCAAAATCCGATACGTTCCCGTGCGATCAGTCCGCTCCTCGAGAAGCCTCAAGTCAACGTGGTATCAAATAGATTCGCCTTTCAACTTAGGAACTTTCGATGCTCACCTTCTCATCTAAGTGCCGCTGAGCCGCACGTGTTCGTTAGAGCTGCACCAGTAAATGCCTCTGCACCAGGCGAAGCCGAGACCTCAAGTGGCAAGAAGAAGAAGGGCAAGAAGGGCACCGGTCAGCATGGGAAGGACTCTTCCGAGAAACCAAAGATCAAGGAGCGTTCGGTTATTTTTGAATGTCAAGAATGTCTGGCCATGTGTGTAAAACGAGTTCAGGAAGAGCATTTAGACCGGGGTGTTGTAATTGTTAGATGCATGGGATGTAGAAGCCCTACTCTCGTTGCAGATAATTTAGGTTTGTTCGAGGAAGAGGGTAGTATGCAAAAGTTTCTCTCGGAACGCGGGGTGGATTTAGTGCATGGTGCTGAGAATTCTTACGAACTTTTGGCTGAGGATTTAGTCAAAATGGCCGAAATGGACGAACAGAGAAAACAGCAAGAGCAAGAACAACAACAGCAGCAGCAGGCAAGTAGTATCCTATGACAGTAGAACAGTCTCATTCACGGGACTTATCTTTTGTCTTCAATCATTCTTTAATGTATGCAGTTTACTCATCACAACGCTTATCATTCCTTCCCATGAAAGCAGACCTTCAAGCTTCAACGTGTGCATCCTGCTCAGTTTTGTGCTTATTTCTGGAATTGTCCTAGTTTTGGTCTCAGTCAGGGTAAAATGTTAGCATCTGTTTCACCTTTTACCCTTATTCGCCACTTTCATGTCTCCTTACAACATCTCGAGCGCTTTCTATTGTGAGAACGCTGAAGTATCTCAGTAGAGACCATGGTTAAACGAACATATCGTTGTATTTTCCTGTGTGAAAGCAGATTATGTGCTTGTGAGTCAATCTCATTAGCAATCTTAATCCAGTCAGTTACTTCAAAATTGTGCCGGTAACTGATTGCAGTAAACAGATATTTGTGATTGCACAAATGAATTTGAAGATAAAAGCTTAATTTACTTGGTCTTGAGGTTTGGAACTAAATTTTGTCAAGTACGCCGCAACAAATGTCATGAGACCCGCACGGCAGACAGTGATTATTTCTTCCTTGATGCCAGTCGTGACGAGCTCTTCTGGCACCATGCCACGTCGTGGATGGACACATTTTTGCCACTTGTTCCTTTCATCGTGTCTCAACTACACATGCTTGTTTGACGTTCTCCTTTTGATTTCTGTTTTCAGCTTGTAGTATTACTCATTCCGTCTTCTGCATCCTTCTTTTGGATTCACAAACATTGGCCGGGGTCTTCCTAAGTAAGACTTTCGTCCTCCTTGTATTATACTCCTCAGAGATTAATATGCTCCCGGTACTTAAAGCAGATGTATTTTTCTAGCATTGAGAGCATTCTTGATTACTTACTTACTCTCTATATCTTTTAAGCAACTGACTACGTCTTATGTGCCCTAGAAGTAAGAAAGTCCAAATCGTTGCCATCTATACAATTCGTGGGTGAATGAAACTGTAGTTCACAACTCATTATTTGTCGGTCTGGTGCAAACAATTGTCATGACCGCCACACTGGCAAGCGAGTTGATGTAGAACTACCAGATGGCTGGTGTGGCTCAGATTCCCATGCAACCTCTTCAGTATCGTCTAAAAGCCTGAGACAAATATTGGGAGTGAAGCACTTCACCTCATATATGGTTACACCCTGGAACCCAGGAATGCCATCTTTCCAAAACAGATCTTTCTTCGTTCATGCGTCACCTCTCCTCCAGTCTCTGGCACCGACCAGCAAGAGCCCCAGATTCATGGTCTCTAGATACTCTATAATGAGTGCAGATGGTAGCGTGTTTCTACCGGAAATATTGTTGACAAGAGAAGTCACTTTCCTGTCTCTTGGATCATTGGTGTTCGCACATGCAATTGTCCAGGTACGTATCCGGGTTATTATTTTGCAAAGAAAATATGGCTCTAATTTAGATTCCAACTTGTAGACGCATGGCAGTCAACAACATGAGCCATGATGGAAAGCAGATGTTTTCTGGCAGCTTTACGGAGTCTTTCCAAAAGCTTTCCCCGAATTCTTCAGGGGGCATGCTCATCGGAAACACTCGGTGGTCCTGCTGATAGTGTCGGTAAATCATAAATCCTTAATACTTTTCCATATCCTGACTGGCCCTACACGTAGTTTAAACTCCCTATCACCTTTCTTCTTTCGACTACCTTTTGCACGGTTGGAATCGATTCTGCAAGTTAGAAAAGTAGAACCCCGTAGTGTGGCCTATGGGAGATTGCGTTAATCAGTTATGTCGTTTACTCTTATACCGAAAATTAGGAAATTGCATCGCTGATATTCGTGTCCTTCGTGTGAATGTTTGCAATCCAAATTACAGAAGACAAATGATCAGCCAGTGCTTCCTAATTGAGGTCTATTTTGTGATTCAGGTTATTACGTGTTTGAAATTGATTGAACAGGTTACATAAATTGATAACTTGTCCCGTTACGGTAAATAATGTTTTCAATTTTTTTAAAATTTTTTCTCCAATTTGATCACCACTATCGAAAGAAGGTTTCCTCTTCGATGAAAGATACAAGTCTGAGCTGTGCGAGGAGCAAGGTCAAAAGAGGACCACATGCTCCTGGGTCGAGAGTTCCTTCCAATAATCTGAGTGATACACATTGTGCACCAATCGAGGGATGTAGGTTCATTCTTCATCATCTTCTTATGCCCAAGATGCTCATCCGTAAAGGACGAAATGGGCACTCTCGAAGAACACTTCACATCACCGAACTCGGATTCGGATCTCGCTTTCTTTACAGAAAGTGTTCATGAGTTCAAAAGAATACAAAAAGCACTAGAAGCCGTGCGAGGTGGAAGTTGTGACAGCATCACGTGTCCCTCACATCCTCTGCCGAACTTGTGTACGCAACAACTGGAGCACAATGGTGCCGTACAAATGCCTCCATCTTCAGACAAGGAAGGAATTTCCACATGTGCTTCTGAAAGTGGAAGGTCGAGAACCTCTCTGAGATATCAACAGTCTCTGACTCTACTTAGCAAATCGGAGGGATCCGTTTCTCGGAAGAGATCAATATTGGTATATCGATTTCGTGCCGTCCCTTTATGTTCCCAACCTGCAAGACCATCCCAGTACTGTAATACATAACAGACGTTGTTGATATTAACACTTTATGGTTTTTCTCAAAGTCCAAAAATCTTGCGATGCCGTTTGATAGGCTCGTAGCCTATCAAACATCGGCCCTATCAAACATAGGCTCGGGCCGATGATGTTGTGCAGGGTCTGGTCACTGGAGACGGACGGCGACTCTGGTGCAATGGCCGTGACAGCTGAATATGCACCTCGCCTGTCCACTCGACATTATTCATCGCTATTTGGACCTTCTCATGTTTCGCCAACAGCTGCGGTTCTACTGAAGACCGTTTGAGCATCAGAATCCAAATGTGATCTTCAAATATCACACGCCAATACGTGCACAATATATAACGCTGAGAAGTTAAATCCGCTAAAATCGCTGCTGTTCTGGGCAGTCCTAAACACACGTCTTGCACATGATGCCCGGGCTCTTCTACAGGCAATCGCCTGCGGTGTTTTAAACGTGCACTTGAAATAACTGCAATAGCTCAAACAAAGTTCCAGTGGGAGCAGAAGACCAGTGAACTTATTAGTCGTTGCCGTCCAGTTGCCATCCAGTTGTCATCGGCACACTCTGTAAGAAGAGCTCACAATCGGGCACCTGTAAGTTTCCATCACAGCAGTGGCGTAGGCAAGAATGTCGATGTCAGTGCGTTCCGCAAGGACCTCCGTACATAGGCTATAAAAGGTGTGTTACGGTCAATGAGGTAACGTGGTAGGTGTTGGGCAAATAATGTGTGACAGAAATCTTGTTGTGAGGAGATCTGTCACCTTCCGGAATTTGTTAACCATTCGGTGAATTTTGATTGGAGACGGTTGAGAATTGCGTATCCTCTATCCAGTGTGGTCGTCTCTTGTCAGCGTGTGATGAGTGGTGCATCAACCAACATGAGCAGACGGTACCATGCTTTAACAGAGGTCGATGATTGATATACGCAGGTTCCTTGATTCCACGATCATTTGGGATATGATCAGAAAGTTTACTTACATAATGAATTACAAGAACTAAATTGATAACAGCTTTGACTATAGCACATCTACACCTTTGAAATCATTTCCTAGTGCGCTTCTTTGGATTCGGGCCTGAACTATCTCCGGCACGTTTGGAGTATCTAGACCCGCGAGTTGTCGGGTTGTGCCCCGGCCTTGTGGCAGAACCGTGCTTTGTAGGTTGGGGTGGCCTTGAATGTGCTCCGATGGATTTGAGCCCAGGACCTTTGTTGTCTACGTCCAAACACGAGACTTCCTTCAACTTGGGAGGGAGTTTTGTCGACACATTCTCAGAATTGTCCAAGTGCCCAACCTTGGAAGGTCTTGCTTCTTCCGCTTCAGAGACTTGGGCAGGTTGGGCTGCACTGTCTACTTTGGGTTTTTTGCCTGTTACGTGAAGGCTACTTCTATTTCCTTCAATGTTTAGTTCTGTCTTAGGAGCCTCCCTTCTTACACTTTCTTCCCTCACGACACGGTTTGGAGTCAGCTTCTTGAAGGTCTCGGACCTTCCATCCACTTCACGCTCATCCTCATTTCCATCGGAGGACCCACCTGCCTTAGGACTATCCTCCATTGGTGCAGTCCTTTGCTGTCCACCTTGGCTGTCTGCTGCAGCTGCTGCTCCTCCTCCTTCACTGCTACTCTTCCCGTTGCTCTTCTTCCTAGCCTCAGCTCCTAAACCTAAAGAGATCCTCTTCCGGTGCATTTCCATGGACTTCCTCACCTCCCGCTTCCGTGTTGCGGGCCCATGTTGTTTCAGCAGAGCTTCAGTTTGCAGAATTTTGTCCATCTCCGCCAATGCACAGCTTCGCAAAGCTTTGGCTCCAGAATACTCTTGAGAATCTTTGCTATTATACACTAAAGCGTTGGTGAACACCAGGAGAAGGTCTCGGAAAAACTCAACACTGCCAGAGTACGCTCCCTCTTCCAACCGAGAGCGTATCATGCCCAAGTCCACATGTCTCCTGACCACTGAGTTGTAGTGGCGTTTCTCCTGGTAGTCCTGCCGTTGTTTGAAAAGAGGAGCTGACTTGTGAGCACAAATGACCCTTAGGCATTCCAGAAGAGGAAGGAACTTCCCTGGCACTTTAGGCTCTCTCCGATTTTTCCTACTTGAAGGCGACATGTCTTCGATACTATCCATCGAAGACCCAACTTCACTTTTCTCAATCTGGTTATTATCGTAATCCAAGAGCGATTGTTGCCTGTCTCCACTCTCAAGACAATCCCTGGACTCTTCCTGCGCATCTCCACTCTCTTTCCTATAAAGAGTGTCAGAAACATCATTAGTTATGGATCTACTCCTCTTCAGCTTGGGATCCAACTTCCGTTCCTTCACACCATCAGTATCCATGTCCATTGTCTTTGGCTTCTGTTCCATGTGTCGTTTGACCGGCCAGCCTTCCCCCTTGACATCGGGTGAAGGCTTTGGAACTGCCTTCCTCTTCCGTTCCCCTTCAGCACCTGTAACAGCCTTCCCGGAGTCTAATCTCTTTAACTTATGAGACGAGTTCGCGTGAGTGCCTACTTTCTGCTCACTAGATCCTCCGTGAAGTGAATGTGGGCTCTTGGACCCCTTTACAGAAATTGCCTCTTGAAAAACATGTGGACTCTCAGACCTCCTCCTGCTAGGAATCGCATCTTGGTTACCCAAAATAGAGACAATCTTTGGAGGACTGTCACTCGGTGTACTTGGTGCTGGCGAAGTATGCAATGCCTGCCCATTACCCGATAAGGAATTGCGTTCGGCTGCTCTGTCTGCGGGACTCGCGGCAACCATCAACTCTGCCACACCAGCCGTTGTAACATTGTTGTTCTGCCCCTTCTTCGAATCGGTGATATCCCTTGCCTCCAGAAATTTACTGCTTGAAGCCTTTTTTCCATCCATGAGCTCCTTGGACTCCACAGCCTTGCTGTTGTTCACGAGCTTCTTCCCCTCGTTATGTTCCCTCAATTCTTTGCTGGAGCCTGCCGCTTTCTTCTCATCGCTCTGGTCCCTATTAACAATCTTATTGATGCTCATAGTTTTCTTCCCGTCACCAAGTTCCCTGTACTCTCCAGCCTTGCCTGTGCTGTTGTTCTTCTTCTCGTCCCCACCTTCTCTGTTACCCGCCACCTTGTTGACAGACTTTTTGTCATCGCCAGCTTCCCTCACCCCTAATACCCTGTTAGTGTTCGTAGGCTTTTTCTCTTCGCTGACTTCTCTCGGACCCAAGACTTTGTTTGCGCTCATGGGCCTCCTCTCGTCACTGCTTTCCCTACCACCTCCAACCTTGTTGAGGTTCGTCAACTTCTTACCATCTCTACCATCCTTGAATTCCACACTTCTACTGTTGATGCAAGGCTTTCTCACATCACTAAGGTCTCGTAACTCCACAACCTTGTCCCCAGCCTCTTCACAGTCGGTTGTTAAAGCTGACTCGCTTCCTCCCTTGCTCGATCCGCTGTCTAGTTTTTCACAAGGAACAAGGTCATTGCCAATTGCTTTACCCTTCTCAGACCTCTGTTCTGAAGAGATGTGAGACTTACTTTTAGCTTTCATCTCATCTTCCTGAGGTCCACCGGACTCCCCAACCCGGTGAGGCTTGGAACAAGGAAGAAGACGTGAATCTTGCCCTTGCGATCGTCCACCATCACGCAGCTTGGATCTGTTCTTGCTGATAGATCTCCCGTAACTAATGGTTGCAGGTTTCGCCGAGTCGGGATCTTTCCTCAGACCTGATTCAACTTTGCTGCCTCGAGCTTCCTTAGCTTCTCCTTCTAAGACTTTACCGTTAGGATCAGGCCCGGGAAGAACATCCGACTCGACCACCCCAACGTGAGCTTTGACGAGAACATCGTTCTTAACTTTGTCATCGGTGATTGCTTTAGCACCAGAAGATTTCAGACTCTCCCTTCCATCGGAGGCTTGACCAGAACCAGAAGGCTCTGGAGCTGGAGGAAAGGCCTCAGGAGCTTCAGAGCCCGGAGCCTCAACCTGCAGGCTCTGCCCACCCGAGCTCTGAGTAAAATCTCCTTCCTCCTGTTTGTCAGAACCTGTTGCCCTACTCCTGGCCTTGTCTCTGTCTTTCTCTCCTTTCAAGCTTGATGACCTACTCATCTGGTAAGGCTTGGAGTTCCCTAGAAGCCGGTTCTTCCTCTCTAGCTCCTCCTTTCCTTGCTCCAACTCTTTACTAGGAGGGGCTCGGAATTCACCTTCAACGCATGCTGGATCATCCGCTTTGACAAGGGCCTCTCTTTGAAGACCTGGAGCCTGCTGATTACTCTGCCCCAAAGATGATCTCCTCCCAGTAGAGGATTCACCAGCCAGCTGTAGATCATCACTAAGATCCTTGACAACAGTTTTGGAAGTGGAGCCCAATTGGACATCCTTCCCTAGAAGAAGACGATCTTGAGACGTAGATGATGAAGCACGTTTCCGGTTTGCGACGTCAAAGCCAGGGGAGCTGAGATTTTCTCCATGATTCTCAAGCTGCATGTGATTTTTTCCCGAATGACCAGGTGTCTTCTCCGAGAGCTCATCGATTTTACGAGCCATGGGAGTTTTGGACTCAGAATTTCTGGGAGCCTTGGGGTGCACATCCGTGCCGCCACATTCACCGCCCTGCTTGGAAGGTTTGAGCTGGGCTCTCTCTTCCTTCATTTTCCTGATTCTAGTCTGAAGTTGACCGATAGTGGAATCGTACTGTTGCAGTTCTTCCTTCAAATGGGACATTCTGACCTTCCTTAGCTCCTCGAATAGAACACCTCCATCTAAATCCACATCCTCCCCCATGGAGATACCACTGCTGCTGCTACTAGCAAACTTCCCCTTCAAAACATTATATCTGAACCTACATGCCTCTTCCGAGAAACAAGAAGGGGAGAGGTTCAGAAGAATGGCTCGAGCTTTCAGCTCAAGAGCAATGAGGTTCCAATTCAGGGCCCCATATTTTTTCACAGCACTGACCAACAGCAACTCTGCACAAGTTCCCCAGCCATTGCTCCCAGGCCTCTGAGCCTCAGCCTTTCCGGGCTGGTGCTGCTGTTGTGGTGAAGCCATTGGCTGCTCCGCCTTTTCATTATCCGTTTCCTCTCCACTCGTCCATGTTTCAGGCCTTCTGGAGATCATCCTCTCTCTAGCATGGTACTCCACCCAAAATATAGGGCTCTGGCTCTTGCCAAAAGCACACACCGATAATATGCGTTCCGCGAAAACCAGGAAAATGCAGCAAATTGGTGTTGAATCTGACCTCCCTCGCGGGATTTAACAGGATTTTGCACAGGTTCAAACCAGCTGTGGAATATGCCTCAGCAAATAATGTGGTGTGATCACATCATATTACGACGATAACAACATTGTGATTTTCATCCATGACTGAGCCCATGACAAGGAATGCCCGGAAAAGGCATACTAAGCTTCAATACGCAGGTCCACAAAATGCTGCATATTTTGGCACCTCTTCCCAATTAAAATCACACCTTATTGCAAGAAACTCTTGGCTCGGATCGAGAATAGCTCATGCTGGAGCCGAGGGTCGTACATACTCTTCCACCTCCCGCTCGCTCCCCGGCCAGGCCAGTCGTGGAGGCAAACTCATGCGTGGCCACGTACTCGATATTATTACGTGCTCCCGGACCTCCAGCACGCAGCACCGTCCTCAGATAGAGCACGAAGAGCTCTCTGCCCTAGGGTTTGATTGAATTCCGACGTTACGACAGGCAGTCCGCTCGAATTTTCGTCAATTACGCCACCACGCAGGTCGCCAAGTCAGATTCGATTGCCAATAGGGTTGGTCGCCATGTCCCACTCGTCAATCTACGGGGCAACGACGAGTTATCTCCAGAAAGATTTGGGGCCTCGAAAATTCCGACGAGGTAAAAGAGAGAGCGCAGATGAAGGTGGGTTGGGGTGGCAAGGCTGCTGCTGCCCGTGGCTCCGTCCCGCGAAGACTCTCGCCCGGCTCACCGACTCGATGCGCTGCTATCCAGCTCTCTCGCGCTCTCTTCGGCCTCGGGTCCGGGCAGACGGAGATTTGCTCTGCGACCTCGCGCAACGCGGAGCAGAGTGCTCTGTCTCGGGGCGCAACGAATTCGAACGTGTGCACGGAATCAGACTCGCATGGCGAACTCCCCGACGACCGACTCGGGGCAGGCAAAGTCGCGCGCTCTCTTGCGCGTCTGATAGGCAGGCAGGCAGCAGGCAGAACGAACTTTGTCCGTTTGAAAAACCAAAAAAGTGGCCTCCCACTCGAGTAACTATGGCCCCAGATCCCCCTCCCCTCCCCTGCTTTCCCTCGCTCTCTCGCCTGCCTCTATAATTCTCTTTCCCTCCTTCGTCACTTCAAAAGCCCCGGCCCAGTCGTGGTTCCAGTGCCCTCTACGCACTACGACACTCCACTCGCTCTCTCCATCTCTCTCTCTCTCTCCCTCTCTCCCTCCCTCTCTTTCTGAGACTCAGACTCTCTCTGCCTCCCTCTGTCTGTCTATCTGTCTGTCTTTGGCTCGCTTGCTCGCTGCTTGGCTGGGCTGGGCTGGGCTTGCAGCAGGCCCAAGATGGATGATGAAAGAACAAACAGTGGAGCAACAAATCCGCACACGCAGACAAGGACAGATTGCTTCGCTCGCTGCGATCGTTCGTTTCGACGTTCGGGTTACGGTGAAGGGGAAGAAGGGGGAGACGGGCAGCGGAAGGAAGGGGAAGGGGATGGTGAAGCTTTGAATGTACAGCAGCAGCAGCAGCAGCAGCAGTCAGTGCCTGCGTCTGTCTGTTTATCTATCTGTCTGCCTGCCTACCTACATACATACAGCCAGCACTGTGAGCGAGCGAGCGAGTGAGTGTAGTATGCCTCGCGCCAACGGAAAGATGGTGGATCGACGATGGATTGTGGCAGATAGATGCGATCGGATGCGATGCGATGAGGGGGTGACGAGCACGATACAATGCAGAGCAACAGAACAGAGCGGATCGACGAAGATGGGGGGAATTGCAGAGGGCTGGCAAGGCAACGCAGGGCAGGGCATGGCATGGCATGCCATGGCATGCTAGGGAGCCATGAATACACCACGTTTGGTCTCAGGTGCTGATCGCTACCTGGTACGCAGTCGTCATTCATCTCCCGCAGCCAATCACCACCAACTGGTGGGATTCGCCTCCTCCTACCGCGGCTACCGATGCTGCTGCTACAACAACTACTACTACGACGACGACGACAGCTTCTCTCCTATTACGGCTCCTTGATCTTCTTCTGCTTTCTTTTTCTTTTTCGCTTTCGTCTTTAGCTGTGGCTGCGAGGATCGGCAGGAGGGGCCGGGCAGCCGATCTCGAAGACGGATGATGATGATGCGAGGCAGTTACCGACCCATTTCAAGTCCCCGCATACATGCGCGCCTCTTTTAACCATGGGGTGAAGGTGAGTCATTCGGATCGAGCGGTGACTGACGTGGCACAGCCGGACTACGTGTGCTCCAGAGTCAGTGGTGTGCAGACAGGGGCCGGACTAAATTCCCGTGGACTCCGATACCTTTTTCTACTGGACGACCCGTTCCCTCGCCCGCGTGACATACTATACCGATCTCCCCTCGTCCCCACTCTCCCTCCCATTGTCCCACCCCGCCTGTCCCACCTCGGGTTCTCCCAGCAGATAACTATGGAGTGGAAAGGGAGCGGGACTTTCTTTCATCTACTGCTACCGGTAGCAGTGGCCGCAGCTATTCATGCCACCGGCAGAAGATGGGCATCACCGAGCGCCGGGGCCCAGAATTGGGCCGGTCGATCCATGGCGCACATGGGAGCCTGATCCTGATCATGTGGTGGAGCTGCGGGTTGCTGCGTTTGTCCGCCATTCCGCTGCTCTGCGCTGTTGGCTCTGCTGTAGTTGGAGGCGATGGGCTCTGGACTCGGCCGCGGGGTGGCGGGCGGTCATTGGTCAACGGCCGCTTCTCCGGTTGGTGGTGGTTTGACGCTCAAGTTATCGGTTCCCCCACATCTAGCTAACCGGCTCCGGCGAGCTGGCTGGTTGGCTGGCGGGCCTCGGCTCCCACGGTGATCGGAGCCCGTGATGTTCACAGGTCCGCGGGTCCGTACTGTCTGCTCGCCACGTGTACACTATTGTCCACGGTTCCTCGGGTGCGAATTTCGCCGCTTGCCTTCTAGCGTGTAGAGACTCCGTGACTACGCAGTCGACGGAGCAGCTGGATGGCGATAAGCAGCAGGCGGTGGAAGCGACGCTTTCAGTCCCGTAGGCTCCAGGCACGGAACTGGCGAGTCGTACGTCGTGCATGGGGCGGAGACTGTGGTGCTGGGGTCGATTACGAGGTAACCGAGAGGGCGAGGGCGAGGGCGACGACAAACTTCGATCTGCCTACTCGGTACACAAAACTCCCGCGATCATTCGACCATTCCTCATACCAACTTTGACTGCGTGTCGTCCCGGAAGGAACCGGAACGCGACGGAAGCGAAGGAGCGGCGGGTAGCGATTTGAAAAGTTGGAGAACGAATGCGCAGGTCGACTTTGAAACGACGGATGGAGAATAGTCTTCTCGGGACGACGTTCGTCAGCGTTCCACAGAATAACGACAAAGCCCAGTTTTGGATGGACTCGGCCCCAGTCGAGAGTCGATGGCGGATCTATGCCTTCCCAGTTCCACTAACCCCGGCCTCCAAGAGTACAGTACCGGATGTACTTTCACGGGTCACATGAAACAAGTTGATGATGTCCCGACCCGACGGTTATATCAAGCTGACTCACCCGAAACGGGCCAAAAGCGCCCAGATTTTGTCTCTTTCCGATCCCCCTGATAATCCATCCATTCTTCTCTTTATCCCTTTTTTTCTTCTTTCTTTCCCCAGGCCACCGGGACCCGAGCAGTCGGTTACAGGGATCTTCTGTAATGCAAGCAACCGGGCCAAAGTTGGAGGAAGAGTTTATCACAAGGCAGGCTCGACACGGACTACAGTAGATATCGCTGCAGCTGTAGCTACTGTGCAGTAGCAGTCTCGCTGGCTGGCTGGTTGGCTGACTCGCTGGATACGACGTGAAACCCGGCTAGAGGCGGTCCGCTGGACAACAAGGGTTTGAAACTGTTTCCCCCGCTCTCGCATTCTCACTCTCACTCTCGCCCGCGTCTAAGCGGTCACCTGCCACACTTCTTTCACCGGCTGGCGCCTGGCTACAAGAACTAGCCGGACCTTCAGATGGACCTCCCGATCGTAGATTCAGAATTTCCTGGGACCTCTGAATCACGTGCGGAGAGGAGAACCGAACTCGCAGTGACCGGGTCCCCGGCATCCATCTGTTCCTAGTCACACGCTGCTCGGTGGAACGAAGGCGAGGGTCCCGGGCGACCGGGTCGCCCATTCGGTGGCTGGGACGTTTACTCGGTCTCTCACCCGTCATCCGGTCACAGGCATGACATTCTTTCTTTAATACGGAATTTAATAATTCTCTCGAACAGTGGTGTATGGAATGAATGAGTTCGAGTGGATGAATGATCGAGTCTGTTAGCATTCTGTAGCTGCTGCAGCGAGGCCGAGGCCGAGGAGGAGGCGTGCACAGGAACCGGATGAATTCTTCGCAATCCGTGGATACGAAGGTCATGTCATGTTGCTGATGCCGCGACTGCTTCTGCTGGTGTCGTCGCGGCTTGCTTTTCAGATGGATGAACGCGGAAATAGGCCATGCGAGCTAACGTATCGGCTATCTGCTTGCACAGTGGAGATGAGATGCCGCAAGAAGCCGAGCTCAAAGATTGTGTTTCTTGGCAATGATAGGCTCGGGGACTCGGGGTAACTCGAACGTTTTGACTTTGTGCATGAACGAGGAGACCGTGTTTATCTCGTGGCCCGGTGGGGTTTGCAGGAATTTTGGGAGAATATTCCAATATGAATCTTTCCAATCTCTCGTACTATATCGGTTTTGCGGGAATCGTGGGCAGGGATTTACTGTTCATGTATCTTTAAAAGTCGGGTGGCAGTCATTTGTATACAGTTTTCTATTCTGAGGTTCATTAGACATGTTTGTCATGAACTAAATTGTTGTATACAAGTTAGATCTTCGTGCTATTAAATAACTAAACATGTGTTGCAATGGATGCATACGTTATCCACTTCTTTTCTACACTGGCAAACGGCATCTTTTATATAAGATAATACCATGTTGCAGTTTACACAATCATTAACAGCACAAAGGTCAATTTAAAATTTGAGACGTGTGGAAATTTGCGGAGCTTGCATTATCTTCATCCGAAGCGAGCGCATGTATACATACATTATACATGCTTATAATAACATACATACACAATTCTTGGCATTTTTCATCACACATGATGTATTGACTTTTATATTAAATGATTCAGTAAAACTGCATATCGGATGATTGACATTTCATTTTTGGTAGAATAGAACTAATTTAGAAGATACTTTTCGATGTAAAATTTTTTATCGCAATATTAACAAATTTCGATCTTAGTTAACATAATTATATGTCAAAACCACTATGCATGTGCCGTAGAACCTTTAGGATTCATCAGTCAGAACCGAAACGCAGGTAGGTTTGAATGCATGTGATGTTCATCTTGTCAGCATAAAAGGAGGCTTTGGAAACAATTATCCTATTTTTTATGTCGCTAATTTCAAAGTAATATATTATGCTTTAGTTAGTACACTAAATTCACAGATCATGACCTGATATTCACGTTTAAAAGATTTAGTGTAAAAATATGGCATGGTTAGAAGACAAAGACGGAAATGAGGCCGAGCGAATTCACTCCCGCTTCCTTTGGAACTAGCTTTTATATCAGATTAAAGTGCTGAGCTAGATCGCGCTTTACTTTCCTCTTTCGCCCGACTGCGAGACTGTCATATGGCTTCGCGATCTGAAGTTAGAAGCCAGAGTATTCCTGATTCTCGTCTATGCCCGTGTGTGTCCTACGGAAGAAGGTACAAAAAGGAAACGGCTCTGCTGAAAAAGTTCGATTCGACGTCCTTTTGGATTAAACAACTGCTCGATACTCACGAATTTCATCTCTCAGTAAAAGGAGTTCATCGATTCTCTCCAGAAAGAAACAAACTCATATCCACTTGTCTCAATCTGTTGTGTCCTTTTCCTTTTCCTTTCATTGGTCGCTTTCATTCTTCGCATTTCGACATCGGTCTTGGGACCCACTCCTTTTCTTGCCATCGCTCCTCGTTGTCAGTCCGTCCGCCTCTTTCGCCTTCGGGCCGCACAGCAGTTCGGTGCACACAATCTCACTACGTGTCTCTCACCTCTCTCTCCTAGCGACTCCCAAATGCCGGAGATCGTGGGTCCATTTTTTTAAGAAATCTCCCGAGTTTAAAATTAGAGGCGGATATAAAACATTTATCGAAAGAAATCAAGAGTTTAGACATAATATTGAAATAAATATAATATCCAAATTACTGAACCATATAGAAACCACGTTAAGTTAAATGATGTGGTTTTACTGCGTATAGCGCTGGTGCTAACTGGAAATCGATTGAAATTATTTTGGTTGGCATGTGGAAGTCTTTGCTACCTCGTGACGAGAAAGTGACGAAAGAAAATAACCTCCACGTTTTTCGGGACAAGGATTTGTGTGTACGATATTCCTGATTTTCTTAATAAACTGAATGAAAATTGTTGTTTATTTCGCACGAAACTACGTAACCAGCCATGTTCAGGATTTGCAAGGCTTCGTTGAGACGATGTGGTGGCGAGATCCGCGGACCGATGCTGGGACGACGAGAATTCCAAAGTCGTCGACGGATTGACGTCGAGGAGCTCGCAGTTGATGATGAACGATGTGGGGATTCGACGGCGTCGGCCCGTTGGAGTACATCGGTCGGATGGATGTCCGGGAGAAGTAGGGCGGACGCGTGTGGGACGTTGCGCGCTTTACTGGAAATAAAGCCGAATGGTCGAATGGTCAAACGGCCTCTCGTGGAGAACAGAAGCTTCTTGGCAACACTCTCTTGATCATCGTCATTTCCAACTTGTTCCTTTTGTATTCTATCATCTCATCATAATGTTGTTGTTGTTGTTGTTGCTCTCCCTTCTCACATCAATGGCCGCGACGTCCTCGTTCGGTGCATTTTGTTTTGTTCGCCGGCTTGCTTGCAAGTTGATCTGCCCGATCGAGACTTTCCGGCCATCTCTTCATGATTTGTCCAGTTTTGTTTGTTCTGAGCCCTACGAGGAGAACAGGGAGCCACTTGACTTTTGCACTCGATAGGGAGGCACATTTCAAAACTGTAGTTGTCGTCGTTTGAAAAATCGTGATCCATGGAAAAGGTGTCAATTTTAGCCCAACGCAAGACTTCGATGGCAATGTACAGCAGGGAACGAAAACAAGGAATTATAATCAGGCGACTTCTGTGCACTTGGTATCGACCCTATGGCCGGTGACGAAGCTTTTTGTCTTTTTTACTCGTTTGCATTCCCCCTCAATGATTCAATTAGACATACTTTTGCTACGTCTGGTTATTAGGAATAAAGAGGGGCAGAATCAGCAGGAGAAACGACGTTCCTGGGCTTCTACTTCTCGTTGTAGCGCACTTCAAGGAGTCAAGACACCATGGTTGTGTCTTTACAAAATGGTGAAGATTCGGCACGTCTCATTCGCGGAGGCCAGTGAGGATTTTTCTGGACCACAAGATTGGATCGATTTGTGATCTCGATTTTCGATGATAATTGCTCTCTTTCTGTATAACAAGTCTGGCCATCAGAGCACGTGACACGTCGAAACTGCACAGGGCCCTTCAGCAGGCTCGTTGTATGTGGCCTTGATTGAGGCCGGAGGTGACGGAAGCTGAAACTGTTGGAACTGTTGAAACAGTCGCTTGAATATTTGGCACACTATAATACTTCCTTCTGGCAATCACTGGCTTTCGGGGCTCATGCCACTGGGTTGTGTGTGTTCAAAGTCTGTGCTGGTTGGGGATCTCGGAGGAGAGCTCTGGATTGAATGTGTGACCGCTAACGACCGCATGAAGCACATAAATGCTCATGGCCAGATATTTTCTTCGTGAGACCATTGATATTTCCACTACTCTCTCTGAAGATTCTCCTGCTCGGTTCGTTCTTGATTCTTGCAGGATAAGTCCTGAGCTCATTTTCCCACTGCCTCTTTAAATTTGCTGCCTGTGACGAGTCCAGTCTATCACGTGAAGGGGAAAGTGCAACAACTTTGAGCGATATCGTGCATGATGAATTCTAGCATAATGAGTCTAGATCGAACGACGTAGCTGACGAAAAGGTTTGAATCTTCTGACTGACTGCGAGGTATCTTCTCGTTACGCTCGCTTTCGAGCCCTCGTAGGCTTTAAGCCATAACATTGTGTCTTGAGCTTCACGGGAGATTCCTGATGGTCGCGTGCCATTTGTACTTAAAGCAAATGTTGCTCTGTACCTCAAATCGGCAATTTCTGCTGCGCCCCCCCCCCCCCCCCCCCTCGAATAACTCCTCTTCGTTTTGGTGGAACCCGCGTTCCGGCTGCCGAATTTAGAAAATCCTTATCTGAGATTATTTCAAGAGTCGTGTCGGTTGGTTATGGCTTGGAAACAAACGTGGATTCAAAGTCCATCATTTTCTACTTTTGCGAGAGTCCGTGAGTCTGTCTCTTTGCATCGAGTACATTGGACATGATGCATACGAGACTGGTCTACAGATTTAAAAAAACCTCAAATTTGAAAGGAAGGAGAGAAATGCACTTTCGATGTCTGATAGTCTGTCTAAATATATACACTATGAACAAAAAAAATACGAGCTCACATATTGAAATCCCACAAAAGGACCGAGTCTGCTTTGAAGAGTTAAATTGCTTGACATTTGACTCGTTGTTGGTCTTCCTTCGAAAGGGGGATCTTGTCAAGGATTAAAATGTCTGTACTCCTTGAAAAGGTGATCTTCTCCCCTATCCCGGAGCTGTATGGCGCATCTGTCATCGTGGCCGATTTCTCATTGTGGCTACTTCCTAATTGAACAAGCTGCAGCGTAAGCAGTTTCATTGTGGAGCTATGCATTTGAAGTTGTTTGATGCAAAAGACAAATTAGTGAACATGAGGTGAATTAAAGTAGTAGACAAGAAATCTCAGAAGAAGGGGAAATTAATTTTGGAGTGAAGAGATTTTTTGACTTGTTTTTCCTCTTGCTGAACTCTCAAACCGGCGTTAACTATGCAAGTGCACAGCAACAAGAGTGAAAAGCAAAACATACAAAACGAATTTAGAAAGCTGAGATATAAGAGGTGCTCTAAGACGTAAATCTCCTCATGTTGATTTTGTATTATTTGGGGTTTATTTGAAAAGAGTGCAATGGATGGCAATCAACAGCATGGCCCAGTGAGAGTACATTAGATCAAATCACAATAATGGCAAGGTGCACACTTATCGTTAGTTACCTTCTGAAACTGAAAATGTGGCATGTGGGAGATACCATTTTTCCCATTTAACTCTTGTATCTCTCACTTTTATATGTGAGGACAAATCGTCTTGCAGAGATTTTTTTTAGTCGTCCATCACGTTGTTCTTTTACCGTACCAGAAATCAACAGCAAGCATTTGTGTGTTCGTCACGAACTTTTTGCAGTCCACTGTTATTCACAACTCTCGTTACTATCAACTTTACTCGTAATATAGGCCAGCACAAAACTTGAGCACAATAGGTTGTGCGTGCTCTGTAGAGCACAGTGCAGCATGTAATCAGCTGAAGCATTTAAAATGCCTCACTCTTGGTGCATGTCGGAGCCGAGCTTCTAACGACTTCGCATGCTGTCACATGTGGCCGCGTCAGGTCAAATAGTAAACCTTTCCATCGTGCGCTCATTCCCGACCGGAGTGCACTGAGCTCGACGACTTGACATTCCTGCGTCGTGTTCCATAAATGTCTCAAATTCAGTAGACTTTGGTAGATGCAGACCTGTGCTGGTATCTTCGTCCTTCGCCTCTTGGTCTTCCGAGACATGCCTGGTGTAGTCTCTGGTTCTAGAACCGATGACTTCCAGTGCCTTATCTTTTGTGGCCTTGAGCTGTCGTTCAATTGGCACGTATGGTTGAGAGGGCTTGATTACAAATACATTTGCGAGTGTAGGCTCGGTGGTGCCTCGGGCACGCAATGCTTTCAATCATTCCATCGGAGGTGGAGCAGTGATACAAACGCGGCTACTTTTCGAATTTCCACGCTCACATCGGAGCTGATAGATAGACACATTCAATATTGATACGGGAAGGCATCAGTAGAATGTGAAGAACATGGTGAGGCCTGGTTTCAAGGCATGGGCTTTGATTGTTAGAATGAAGAGCTCGAATTCATGCAGTGCATTTTGGGGGTCTGATTTATTCCGTTACGATTCAGGTGGACTCACAACACAAAACTGCGGTTCGATGCTCTACCTCGAACAGTCTAAGTAGCAACAGGACCAGCTGCCTTCGCAAGTAGAAACTCCGAACAGTTCATAACTGCCGCATTGGAAGGTTTAACAGTCTCAGCGTTTGAACGGATCTAATTGGATCCGTCCAATGCGAATTGAATGGTACTGAGAAAGGTGATGAGCAACACTGGTCAAGGGAAGAAATATCTACAAATTACTGGGGACAAAATTGATTTTGAGGGACGATAACTAATGCCTGAAGTGACGTACTTTGGTGAAAAGCATGGCCACCCCATACTTATTACAGCAATCTATGGCATCCTGATCCCTCATACTACCTCCGGGCTGCGCAATAACTGCTACTCCGGCCTTGCAAGCGTCCTCGACAGCATCATTCCAAGCTACCACAACGAACATTAAAAAGGCCCCATCAGATACTTCTGCTCGTTATGATAATCAAAAGCGGAGTAAAGCTGGCATGCCCTTTTGCAACATATTTTGTTTCATGAAGCACATTTTCCTCCAATAAAATGCAGCATACGGCGAGGGTCCCAAGAAGAATTTAAAATGGAACAAGATTTTAAGTGAGAACTGCTCTTACCGAATGGGAAGAACGCGTCACTAGCTACTGCGGCTCCCTTCGATTCTGGACCAGCCTTTTCCAGAGCTATTTGGAGACTTTTCACTCTGTTGGGCTGGCCACTTCCCATACCCAACATCTTATTGTTCTGCGAAGAAGCATCGCGTTCAAAGAGTCAGTTTCAGATTTTTTTTCCGATAAACTGTACGACAAGCAGATATTCCGGGCCGTTTCTCTGTACTAAATGCTTTCCCTTCTAGGAGAGAAAACCAGCTCACCTTGGCGAACACGATGGCGTTGCTCTTCACGTGCTTCACACAAAGCCAGGCAAATTTGGCATCTTCCACTTGCTCCAATGTGGGAACTTTGTTGGTCACGACCTCGAAGTCAATGTCGTCGGGTGTGAGATCGTCAGCCTCCTGTAGAAGCCAACCCCCTGCAACCTGTCGCAGTGAACGTCTTCCCCTTTTGCTAGGTTCAGTTTCGAGAATGCGAAGCGTTTTGGACTTTCCTTTCAAAACCTCCAGTCCCTCCGGGGTGAACTTGGGTGCAACCACTATCTCGTAAAACATTCTTGTCTGTCCGTCTGTTGGGCTTCTAAATTCTCGAATCTCACGTGCAAGAGCCTGTCAAAAGAGCCCAAGACTGAGACTGTGCTTCATTACAATGTGGTTAGAAAAAGAACACCTACAAATTAACGAAAGTATCTCCATTTACACAAGTAAAAGCACTACCTAGCTAAGTGAGTGGAAGACGAAAGTTCAACTCCTGTGAAGAAAAGCGTGTAATAGTTACAATTATTTGGAGAAAGTTTGCCACGTCAATTTCACTCTTCTGGTAAACGCTAGGACTGTAAGCTAACTGGACTGGTATAGTTCACCTCATCCACTTCCACGTTGAAGGCAACAATGCCTCCAAATGCACTGACAGGGTCAGCTCTGACGGCCAGACGATAGGCTTCCAGAAGGTCGCTCTCCGAAGAAGCTACACCGCAAGGATTCGTATGTTTCACCACTACACAGGTTGGGATGGTAAATTCGCATACACAGTTCCAGGCAGCATCGGCATCCAGATAATTATTGTAGGACATTTCCTGCGAAGGCAGAAATGAATGAGTTCCAACTGCAATTCCACTACAGGTGGCTGGCAGCAAGACCACCATGAGTTCGAACCAGAATCAGTTCTCCCGAAATGTCTCCAGTTACTTGCGTTTCGGGAGAACTTCATGCAGCAAAACCTGCAATCCCAAACTTGCTGGGCGTAATCAGCTTAACATTTAAATGAGAAATTTCAGATTAACATGCTATTCTCGGTATTCCCATACCTTGCCATGATGCTGAATGGAAGTGGCAATTCCTCCAGCTTTCACTTCTGCAAGCGAATTGTCGACGTAGAAAGCAGCATTTTGATGGGGATTTTCTCCATACCTAAGAACCTGTTTGAGGGAGAGAGGTACGCTCATACTAGGAGGAGGACTCCAGCTATCCATGCCTGGAAACAGTCAGCACCTTCTCAGTTAAAAATACGTATTTCAGACAGATGGTAACATACTAAAACTAAAAACGGCAATGAAACTCACAGTGTTTGAAAAAACACAATACAGTCCAAAGACGAACCCGCATAACCAGTTGCTGCTTACGAAAAAGAGTATTTGTTCAAACAAGTTCAACAAGGAAGAGAAGACTTTCACAAATGAGACTTTAGCTACTCGTGATCAAATCACTATTGTGAAGTTTAAGAATATGGTACGACACACACCAACAGTTTGCCTCCAGAACCATTCAGCAACAATGGTGTCATACGAGGCACAATGTTGAAAGGCCTTCCATGCTAGTCTCCTGCGGAACGTCTCATTCGATTCTTCTGTTCCTTCTCCTCGTAAGTTCGCCAACATCGCGGAATAGTCTTCAGGATCGACCACAACAAGCACATCTTTGTGGTTCTGCGAACATGAAGGACAAACAAATGCGTATTAAACAGACATTAAGAGCTCTAAAGAGGAACATGGCAATCTAGGGTCAAAGTACATAGAGAGGGGCATAATCAAAAATAGGCTTCACCAATCTTACCTTTGCTGCTGCCCTTATCATTGAAGGTCCACCGATATCGATGTTTTCCACACCCTTATCAAAGTCACAGCCTCCAGGCGCTGTGACTGTGCTGTAGAAAGGGTACAAGTTTACCACCACGACATCAATAGTACCTGTGCAACGATTTGGGAAAGATCAGACTCATCACTGTTTAGGAGGCATAAAAACTGCAAAGGAGGGTATATGTGCACAGAAGAACATGACGTAGAATAATGAGGTCCATGTAAATTTCCAAATATTTTACGAACCGATTCCATGCTCTTCAAGAGAGTCCATATGCTTTGACAAATCTCTTCTCGCCAAGATACCGCCATGCACGGCTGGATGTAGTGTCTTGACTCGGCCATCCAACTGCGATTCGCAAGATTGTCAGCGTCCACAAAATTCCACAGAACTTTTGAAATCTAGTAGAGAATAAGCTGCTACCTCTCTATCACCTGTGAAAAGATGAAACACTAAGAAGCTCAACCACTGACATCCTGGTAGCAAACCTGCAGCTCAACCAGCCCAGAATTTCGAAAGCAAGGTGGTCTTGGCGACGTTGTTTCAAGGAAGACAACTATAATTCGTAAAGTTACATAAGGACTCTTTATAGAGCTGTAAACTGGAGTAGTTATGCAAATCTACGTCTAGCCCAGACACGGGATTCAGCTGAAAAAGTTCCTCACCATTTCGGGGAACGAAGTAAGCTGCTCCACTCTTGTGACTTCAAAGCCTGCTTTTTCCAAAGCTGATGCAGTCCCACCGGTGGACACCAGGGTGTATCTGCAAAAAATAGACGGTTTCTCCATTAATTAAAAATTTGTCGACCAGTATGGAAAGAAAACCCATGCTTTTCACAGATACGGTACACTTCCTGTGTCTCGTCTGGGACAATTCGTAACGGAAGACATGCGCACTCTTCATATCTTCTGCACAATCCACCTATTACTGCGGCATCCGGCATACGAAACTGATTTTGAATTTCTAATACCAGCACATAAATAAGGGGACTAATGTCACGCGGTCTGAAGAGGCCAGACGTCTACTATGAGATGTTAGAAAAATGTAAACAAAACACAAAGATTTGAAAATGTTGGCGAAATGGAAAACATCTCGCAGAGATTTTACAACACTCACCCGAGTTCCGACAGGCCTTTCGCAAGAACATCAAGATCTTTCTTGTCCGACAACGAAATCAGAGCTTTCTTGGGACCTGCAGCCATAACAATCGTTCTCGATCACTGCCAACATTCACTCAACAGGCAGCAGACTGCGAAAGACTCAAGAAAGCGCAGAGAAACAATATACTAGCACCCAACCATTCTTAGAACCCAACATATATATTCAATCCACTTCGACGACACGCCAATCCTCACATTCTCAAGACTATCCGATACTCGCAAGAGAAAAAATTGGCCCTTTCAATATATTCCTTCATCATGCTCTGGCCCGTGAAATTTAATCCTCCGTTACCCATCGATGCGTTCAACGCATGATAGACCTCCATACCTGCTGAGACATCAATGGTGAGGTTCGACACATCGGGCAGGGAGTCCGTCGAAGAAGCCATGGCACGGCAGCCTGCAACACGAACAGCCAAAATTTGCTGCTGTTGCTGCGTCCTGGGAGGAGCACCCGCCGCCGATTGGACAACAGAACGAAGAGGAGCCAACCCTGAGAAAGGCTTGCTGCAGATCAATTTGGCCGAGTGGGCAGCGGCCGCCGGTAACGTGGACGAGTGACCCAGCGCTGGCAACAGCGTTGCCAACCTGCATGCCATAGCCGGATCTTGTCTCGGTTCCTCTGAAGCTCAATACGTACACTTCCTCCGCTTCCTTGTCCTCCAGTACTCTCGCTCCAACACTGCCAGCCCCTTCCCCCTTTCCCCGACCAGTTGCTCGAAGTCCTCGAGGTTTAGGGGTTACCGAAGCGATACAAATGGTCTGGATCAAGTGGTTTTGAGCTCTTGGACCTGAATATCCGGTACAGTCGCCGTTAGGGAGAGTCAACAGCCCATGTTCAGGGCCCGTGACGCTGAGGGGGAGCACATTCCTGTGAGTATCATGTCTAGATATGAAGTGGCCGTTCGAGAGGGGTTGCAGCGCCTGCGGCTCGTTTGGAAAGGCGTTGGTGAACAGATTCCTTTTGTCTGCATTCTCTGTCCCTAGTGCTGCGCGTTCTAGGGGCCAGTTCTTGCTCGCCCTTTCTGTTCTGGTGTTGAATCTTGTGTTACGTGCTAAAAAATCGGGAGATTTTATCTGTCACGTGCCCTGCTCTGTCCGAGGAGATATGATGGAAAGTTGTTCTTTGAAACTACGTTGGAGTCGGTTGTAAGCTCGTGGCCCAAATAAGGTTCAACCCTATTCTTTGGTTGTTCAAAACACGGAGGTCGGTTTCGGAGCCTGACACCATTGTACAACAACATGGAGACTCATCTGTGTCTTGTTCATTTGCCGAGAACTGCTGACGACAGAGAAGCTTCGACTGGTCGAGCCATGGAATGTCGTTCAAGGTATGTGCACTCGTTTCATTTCACACACAACAATCATGACTCCGAAATGGGTTATCTTCTTTCATCCACTCCTTAAGGGATACACAAACAAGTTCGTCCCCTTCAACAAGTAGAACGAGAAAGGCCGTCTGAGTCTGAGCTGGTCAAGAATATGCATCATGTGTAAGGGCTGATGATGTGCCGCCCTCTTTCCACTACACACATTCAGTCATTCTCAGACCGGTTACACTCCGGCAACAAGCGGCACATGAGTGCCTCAAGAGACCTCTTCACCGGAATCCATATTCAATGCTGTACACTTGCACGTATTCGGGTATCACAGGAGAGGAAAATCAAAACTCCACTGGTAAAAGGACAAGCTTGTCATTACAACGTTCTGCTCACTGAAACCACTTCCTTCATACCAATGTGATCAATTTTAACGGATCCAGCTGTCGCAATAATAACAGCTTGAAGCCCTGACATTCGACGTGCTTGGAATACCCACTTTCGGTAATATGTTCGATTCCCTACTCACTTGGCAAAAATACCCGTGACTCAATTTGAGTTTGAAGGGTTTGAGGAACCGAAGAACCTAAAATTCATCACCATAACAGTGACTTTCCCTGTTGAGACAAGATTCATTGCCCTTTCATCATCCTAGAGATTCTCTGCAAATGATAGTTGATTGTGTTGTGCGATTTGCCGCTCTTGGCCTGAAAAATTGGACATCCAGAATTAAGAAACCAACTGCATCAGAAACATCTATACAAATAGCATTCGAGGAAGGAAACGTTGAGCTAGATGAAGTCGTTTCTCGTCTATGACAGACTAGAGTATCATCACATAACACCACCTGAAGCTACAGCTGAATGAAACCTATCATCCGAAGAACAGGGACATGCATCTAGTAAATTAGTGCAAGATTGATCCATATTTATAGAGATGTACTTTCTATATCTTATAAATCAGAAACGAGGTTTCGGGACTCCGACGCAAAGATGCAATCCACCAGGCATGACCTTTACACACAGCATTCAAACTGCTGGTGGAAACCGTGTACTCTCGGAGGAAGTTGAAAAATGCAGTAGTAATGAGCTCAATATACAGGGAGCAGGTCTAAAATTACCTGGAGATCCATGCAGGTTTGCAAGGCCTTTTTCTCTTGCATACAGCCGTCATCGTTGAAGTTAGCCTTCTTCAAGCACGCCAAAAAGTTCAGCATTTCGGATAAGCAAGGGCGAGTTCTCTTGGCAAATGCCTTGGGATTCACCCGCATAATACCTGCTTTACGACCCATCTTGGCCTTTCCTCAACACCTGCAAACCGGGTTGAGCTCACAGTTGAGTTCTGCATCGAACACCGAGAATTTGATTCCAAATAAATCTCATGTTTAACCTTAACGGCCAATATTTTTTGGATGATACTCGCTGGAGCAACATCGTTAGCAAAATTTTTTTGAAATTCTCGTGCGGCAGTAATTAATGGCATAGGAGATCACGGAATTTCCCACAGAGGATCGGATCAGTGAACCAGTATATCACAGTCTCGCAGTAATCACACTGCAAAGTTGACCCTGGATGGCGCATTTTTCAAACCTATTACAGCAATGTGGTGAGAATTGTCAACAAATTACCCGAAAACTGCAGGTACGCACGACTCCACGAGAAACGAAACTCTCAGTATCACCCTAAAACCTACCACAAAAAACAAGGAAACAACACACGATCAGCGCGCGAGGTAAAACATCATCCCACAAAAAGAAAAATAAAGCAACAGACTCCACGTGACGATCTCAAAATCCTGTCTCCGATGTCCCCACGAGTCCAACCGAGAAAGAAACCCAGCGACCTCAATCGAGCTCCATTTCCACAAAAAATCCATCCGATCTCTTCGGTTCTGCGATCTTTCTCCGCCACGGTCAACGTACCTCGATTCTCCACTGACAGCAGCAGTCCGCACCAAGGTCCGCATACTAATCACACGCGAAACGGATCCGCGTACCCCTACCACGCGAACGGCGAAGAGTTGCGTCCAAGCGAGCGAGAGCGAAAGAAGGAACGAAGGGGGACGAAGGCACGCTCGCTTCCAATTGCAACGGCCTGCGCTGCAGACGCTCCTCACGCTCCTCCCGCTCACTCGGTAAGCCCACACTTCGACTGCGCCCGATTCCTGCGACGATACTTCCGACGTTAGACGAACCTCGTAGCCCGACCCGAGCAGACGTGGATGGCGACCCGTGCCGGAGTGGGTCCCGGTGGTCACCCGTGTGCGAGGGGTCAGAAAAGCGCATTCAATCCGGCCGTGTCACGGGAGCAAGTGGACCATGCCAGTGGGGAGCCACGCGTTGCCAGACCGACACAAAAAGCTCGTACGTGGCGGACGCTGCCAGTATTCCGCAGCTTTGCAGTCACTGCGGCCTTAGCTTGGCTTGCTGACGAGGGGAGAGATCTATCCTTTATAAAGCCCCGACGCCTCGCGCTCGAGGGCTTGGTTTTCGGCTTTGGATTTGCAGCGTCTTCGATCTCCGAGCTCGAATTTTGAATCGCGCCATCGCTGACGCTCGCATTCGAGTTCCCGGAGATTCGGAGAAGAAAAATATTCTCGCGTAGTGCGTTCGAGAGGACGTGGGTTCACGAGACCGATTGGTTTGGTAGGTAGAATTTGGGGAAATTCGAGTTTTGGGGCAAGGTGAGGTTCGCGGTTGGAGTTTTTTAGCTTGGAATTAATTACCTTCCGGCCATCGTCACGTTTCTGCACTGCTTGAGAAGAGGCGCAGCGCAGTCTCGGAGTTCTTTGAGCATGGCCAACAATGAACTCCTCAGAATGTGGTTTGACTCCGTCGACGTGGATCGGTCCGGGTCGATTAACTGCGAAGAATTGCAGGTTTTTGCTTTTCTGCTTATGTTTTTAATTCCTCTGGGTCATGATCTTCGTTTACTTTTCTCTTGCTTGAGAGTTGGAATATTGGAGCAAGGGCTGGAATCCGGAATTTCTTTGCCTTGAGAAGTCTGAGTGAGGATGTAATCTGATTGTTGATATGCAAGTTCATCGAGGTATTAAGGCGTAATGAAGCTTGTATGTGCACTCCTCTCAAATTTTGAATGCGGTGATCCTGAATATTGCTCGGCTGATTTCACCGCGAGCGGTAGTATTCTCTGCTTTCCTACTAGAAGGGCATATACTTTCAGTCGATGGTCTCTTAAAGTATTTCGAGCCTGCTCACGTCCGAACATAAGGACTCCAGCTGCTGAAAGCGAAAATATCATTTAGACTAAAAATACCTTTTGCAGCTTTACGTCTCGTAGCTGTCTGTATCATCCAAGTTTGCTCATAAATATGGACTTTTTTGTGAAACATGCAGAGGGCTCTGGCTGTAGGAAATCTTCACTTTCCTTCGTCTGTGGTGAATCAAATGATCAAGTATGACTCGATTTCTCAAGTTTGAATTTTTCCAGCTCAAGCGGACTAGTTGTATATTTTTAGTTGCAGGCTTCTCCTTGAAAGTAAAATCATAAATCTGCTACATGCATCAAATTGAAGATTCCATGTGTTAGAGGACGTGCAGCAGCTATGCAACAAGTGAAGATGGGGGAGTCATTTTCCCTGTTTTCCCCTTAGTTTGTGTTGTTTCGCAGCCCAGTTTGAGGTAAAGATATGGCTTTACGAGCATCGAACTTGTTCAAATTATCCATCTCTCGCAATATATGTTATAGATCGCATATATTTTGAAGAAAAGCAGGCCCATAGAAGTGTAAAAGCTCGCTAGGACGCTACGCGCCTCGCAAGCAATAGACTTTTCAATAAACCTGGACGCAGACAAGTATGGAGTTCGTTCGTCTAACTTAATATGTCCTGTTGCCGATATTTCGTGGAATGACTGAGTTTCACTTCTGTCTTGGAATGCTACAGGCTTTATGATACCGACCTGAATGGAACTATGAGTTTTAATGGTAGCCATTCATATCCCCGCACTTCTCTGTCGACTAAAAAATTCTTTGTAGTATCTCAGCATAAGTGGGAATGTACAGTTCTCTTCACGGCTCAATAGATTGCGTTTGCAGTCAGAACCTTTGCAGATAGATTCATTTAAAAAAATTTCCTAATATTTCTGCCCTCCATTTCTTCACAAAATTTTGTCCATAACCTTCTAACTTCGTTCCTTCGCTTTGTTTTCTTGCAGAGTTTATTAGTCTCCACCAATTTCTTACAGTGGTACGTGACATGCTTGCTTTAAAACTGTTTTCACTCCTGTTCGTTCCTCCTCACTACATCGTTCCGAATCCTTCTCGTGTCTTTTCTTTTGCGGTAATACAGTCACCTATCCCTGAGCGTCCTCTCCTTTGTCTTTTATCTATGAAACTGCGGTATTTGACAAGCTGCACGTGTTTCAATACAGGTACAGGATTCGTTCCAAGCAAATTTGAGGTCTGTAATTCTCAAAAGTCTTTTTTAGGATTCTGGGTTTTTGGGAATTCACTCGTAAGTAGACGGTAGTGTTTGATTCTGTCGTGTGACAGTATGGTCTAATCTTCTTAAATTTAGCAGAGAACACACTATTTTACTTCTGCCCTAGTAACAACCATATGAGTTCCGTATGTCATTCTTTCAATACACGTGATGAAGGCATTGTATCGGTTATCGTCATGTCTTGCAGAAATCGAGAGCAATTGAGTCTCAACGAGGTGTATAATGTAAGAATCACAACCCATGGTCTTGATTTTGTTACCTTTGAAAATAGGCTGATTGAATCCTAATTCAATTATGAAAGGGTAAAGTGCTGTAAGAACCATCAAGAAGTTGCTGTTACCATCTGTTCCAACTCACTCTAGAGTGCGTGTGGACATGAATCTTTGCAAAGTTGTAGCAAGCATACTATCTCTGCCTGGCTCTGTTTAAATATGCGAAAAGTTACTCCTAGTATCTAGTAAGCTCATCACTTTTGCTGCTCGATGTGCAGGCCTTGACGCAGGCAGGATTTTCATTGGATCAACCTGCTTTCTACTGTGCTTGTCAGGTACGTCCAGTTGTCAACGTGTACCAAGTTCAACTCTACCTTCCGTCTTTTCCTTTTCTTCTCTACTGATGTTGGATTGCTTTGTGAGTGGCCTTGTCATTGTCCACCATGTGCTCGTTGTCCACAGAGTTAGAAGATGTTAGGGTATTTCCACTTCTTACCAGGGAAAGACCCGTTATGTAGTTCTGTGAAGATACTTTGGACTGTGGAGTTCTCTTTAAAGTTTGTCGAAGAGAAATGTAAATTTAAAATTGTTCTCTTAAAATTTTATTAGGAGTCTCTGTAATTGCCCTATCAATAACAAGAGTTTTTTTTCCGTAGATATATACATATAAATGAACTAACCAGTAAGGACGTAACAATCCCTCAGTTTAGATGAGTGTCCTCACTTTGCAGACGATAACACCTCGAACGGCAGAAGTGTATGTTTCTCTAATGGATGTTATTTCGGATATGGAACAGTGAACTGTTTTATGTTGGAGGTGTTGACATTTAGAGTTCTTGGAACTAAGCATCAAAATTTACAGAGTGCAGAAGAGACGTTTTTCTGTGAGAACCCTGTAACAAGGAGTTTGCGTTCCGTATATTGTGTTGTAGTGGAGATGCACTTAACACCTGAGCATAAATGTTGTTCTACAGCTAAATCACTTGAGTCAGCATTGAGAATAACTGTGATCTCCTGAGCTGGAAGACATCATGTGCTTGCTGAATCTTGAAAAGAAGATGGTGCCTGTGCAGAGTTTTGATAAGGAGCGACGTGGTCATTTCAGACTAGATAACTACATGTCTTTGTGTATTTTTCTCAAATCTGCGCGGTGAGTTGTATAGCCAATATTTTGCCTTTTAGTTCTTTTTTATGAGATGTTCAGTTAGATTCGATACGCACGCGATATTGTCCACCTTCATATTTGGACGTTTTTCTCAATCACAAAAGCTCTTGAACAAAAGTTTTCGTTTGTTTTGCAGAAATCTTTTCACGTCATTTGATACCTCACGTGCAGGGGCCGTGACCTTGGATTTTAATCAGTTCGTCTACTGTGGTAAGTGCGTCGATCTTGGTCTTGTGTAATTGACTTCAATGTTGGATCGAGGTTTGTAAACATGTTATTCTTGTTGGTTCTGATTGGCCTTCCTCGTCAAGTCATAAATCTTATTTTCGACTATTCGTTTTTGTCCTGCAGCTGCCAACATGAGAATATGATAAGTGATAGTCCCAACTAAATCTTCACATATGTCACTCCCAAGAAGACACATTTTCTTCCTGCTCAAAAAGGCGTTTGTTTCTATGAGTGTAGATGTTCGTCATTGTATATTTTGTCGAGTTGTATGCATCGAAAGCAGCAGCATCAGCGAATAGCGACTGATGTTTGTATCATTCTTTCTTGTGTAGTATAGCAACGGTGTCATAGCACACACCCCATTTGTATGAAAGCAGCAGTTCGCTTTTTAATTTGACTCGCACACGCCTTGTACTTAGGTGCGAAGGCCGTGATTTTGTAAGAGGTGGGGCCCTGGCTTAGTACTGGTTTCTTAGGGGTTGAAAGCCTGGAAGATCCCAATGATCATTCATCAGGATGATGATATATACGAAATGGTGGAGGTTTTTTTTTTGTACACAAGTTACATAGTAGAAATGAGGCATGTTTTACTTCTTGTGTGTTGCAAGCAAGGTCGTGATGAGCCTTTTTTCTAATAAAAGTAAATCTGCAAATAACGGTGGATTGTCTGAGGGTTTTGATGGACTGTTTTTTGAAATCAGCATGGGGAAAGACTGCATCTTCAAGTTTTTAATGAAGTTGTAGTCTTTCTTCACCAATCAAGAGTTGACCCTTCCGGAAGCCTTTCACTTGATAAGTTTATGCCGTAACGTTTAATCCAAGTTCTTGAAGGTTTAACTACAGAAGTAGTCAAAGAGGAAATTCAGTCGCTACATGGAACCTTTTTGGAGAACAATCCAATCACTGTGATATTCAGTCAATTTTTTTAAAGGTCACCTTCGCCCGGGAGGGGACTCTTGATATATGTCTGAAGAGAGAAGCGGACCAATTGATATTATGCTCGAACCGTAACTTGTGACTCTTACATTTTATGACTGAGAACTGTGTTGAAATCTTCAGAGATCCGCTCATGTTTGACATGTTCCTTACCACCTAGGCTGTAGCTTACTGGTACCGGGCAGTCTGGATGGGCAGTATGCATGTATCTTTGCACTCTTGTTATTCTGATACAGTATTAACCTGTCCATGGAACACAAGTATATCTATCGAACGACGGACCCTTTGCTGGAACATAGCTTATAATATTAACAGAACGAGCGCTATCCTATACCCTTTGCTTTCGTTCCATGTTCATGTCCGTTGCTGTGTTGCGGTTTATCTGTCTCAACCTGTGCTAATCCTTGTGGGGAAACTTCCCAACGTGAGTGCCAACGTACAGCGAGTTCGAGTTTTTATGGATACAAATTTTTCATGAATGCCTGAAACTATGACATCAACCGTACTGAATAGTTCGCTCCGATGAGGTTATGTGAATGGAATAACATATAATCCTAAAAAATTGAGCTCTTATAAAATGTTAGTTTTATCACCCCAACTAATTGTAATGAACTTATTTGAGTTGAAAGAACACCTGAGTTAACTTATAATAATATGAAAATATTTTTTGAAAATATATTTCTTGATATCCATTGTATACAAGCTAAAATGATTGACTTATTTGCACATCTCAAAAATCTGTAAAATTGAGTTTTAAAATAGGCATAGTTTGTGCATCACATAGAATAGTACGAAGTTCTTTACTATGGTCAAACCTTGAGCAGTTTAATGTCTAGAAGAAGTTAGGTGTATTCAGGAGTAACAAATTTCCTTGTTACTGGGCTTACTCATAGATTCATTGATTTTAAATACCAGCGTAAAAGTGAAGCTATCGTTAATTATTATCAAAATAGCATTTTTTAAAGAGGTAATTTATTGAAAGTCAACTTGGATTGTTCTAATTTATAAGAAAGATTGTTCAAAGAACACATCAACAGAGTTAAGGAGGGAAAATTGATAAGATTCCTTGTTAGAAACTAATCATTCAATGTTTGAAGATAGATTCACAAATACAGTGATTTCATTATTATATAAACTATTTTTTATCAATATATATAAGGTATATTTGATAAAGTAGAAATTGATCTTCTAAAGATAGATTCAAAACTATTAAATCTTTGAAATTGAGAATAAATCTCCAAAATTTTGAATTTTTTAGTGTGATTTTATACATAGATTTATGCAATGATTTTTATTTCATAAGTTTATGATAATGATAAAAATTTAAAAAATATTTTATAATTAAATTAAATATCACATTGTTATAACATGATCATCATTAAATTATAAAATCATTATCAATTAATCACAATAATTATATTATGCATTACATAAAGAAAATACCACATTAAAATGTTTTACACTTCTTCATACTCATTTGGATTTGCTTAGATAGTTGGTATTGATGATATTGATAAGAAAATACTTAGATTACCATAAACACAATCACACCATTTAATATACTTTGTGAAATTCATATTACAATTGATGTCCTTGTTACAATCTCTAACAATTTTAAATGAAAATCACTCAATGAGATTTTGCATGATACAAACAGTTTACTAGGATCCAACACGTGTTATTTTATCGAGTGTGATTCTACATAGATCACAATGTCATCCATAATCTAATATTTACTAACCATGATTTCTAATGAAAAAAGATGTTCAAAAGGCTAGCATTGATCTATCTATAGATAATTCTACATCCCCGTGATAGTGTCTATACTATTTCAGTTTCTACGTTTGGCAATTCAATTTATTCATTCACATCATTCATCAACATCAATACTAATTTCATTGCAACATTTTGAAATAGAACGTTTTATGTTGCTTTAGTATCAATCAAAACTTTCACTTGTATAATTCCATCATATTATTCGTAAAAACCAATTGGATTTATTTTTTCTTTCTTCCATGAGTACCCCGATCATTATTTTATTCTAATAACGTTCTTTTTTGTTTCGTGGAACCATTAAGGTCGCAAGGCTAGTTCATTGGTGATCTTCACATCCAAAGTTACTTTTTCAGTTTCTTCGTATTCACGTCCTCCATGTTATTGAAATGTCATCTCTGCATTAGGGCTTCTCCTTGTGAATATGGTCGGATTTTATATAGCTGGTACTCCGCGAAATCTATTGAGGTAGAGCGTATCAAAGTAAATGGCCTGAGGTAGAGCACTCAATGGGCTAAGGTGGCCCAAAGCTTGAGTTTGGAAGAACTTGACAATGTGAAACATGGAAACATGAAAAGTATCATGAACTCGCGCTTCTACTCAAATCATTTCATTATTTGCATATATTTTTTGTAAATTTGAAATCCATGATCATTGAATCTCACCTCTAAATCTTATGCTAGTCCTCGTGATGGTGCATAACATTCTCTACATCAAAAATTTTCAAATCCATTTGGTGTATCGTTGGTTGGATCTCGAACATTGCTTGATGATTTATTGTGTATGATTCCATTAGCACTTGAAATTCGTTAAAAAAACAATTACAATTGCTCCATTCATTGTGAATGGATTGTTTATCATCACCTCCTTTGTTAATTGATACTTCAACCTCGTTTACTGATATTCAAGTCTTTTACTCCACTCATATCTATGATAAATATTTGAAGTTCACAAAGTTCCTCAACATACTCCTAGATATTTACTTTTGGCTTCAAGTTTCATAACTTTATTATTGCTGTCAATAGAGAATCAATAATCTTTCATGCATTCCACTTCACAACATTGAAACATCTTGTTTTCATAACATTTGTTTCCATATAATTTACTATGTGAGTGTTTTATCCATGAGGTAAGAATTCATGGACATTACAACAATAAAATCAAAAACATGAAAATAAAACAAATGTATAACTATCTTCGTGATCTCATATTTCAAAAATCCCATTGCTCTAGTATACTTGTATGCTTCCACATTACATGATTTTTCCATTCAAAGCAAAAAACGTGACTTAATTTCAATAACTTGAATTTATGTCATATTGACTTGTGCAGTATCAATAGGATTTGAGTCTTTTTGTACCTGAGTATATGATACTAAAGTTTCAATCTTCATCCCTCTAGCTTGTCTCCACTTTCTCATTCTCTAATGCAAAAATCTTATACTCCATGCTATTTTGTATGTTATTCTACTATTGCTTTCTCCAATTATTTCATCTCAACCATGAAATCATTTAGTATCTCATCTATGTCTAATGATGTCTCCATGCTTACTTTCACTCACTCTAATAGAAAATAAATATGACAACTATCTAACCTATAATCAAAATAATCATAAAAGTTAGAGTTCATTTTATAACAACTATATCATATTTTTCATCATAACTCCTCACTAAAAATCTCTCTTGTAGATATATTGTTCTAATATATATATATACATATATATATATATATATATTTTGAATTGAACCAACGTGAGTAGTTCATGATTCAAATCTATCAAACATTCAATATGAAATATAGTTGATATATCTCATGTATTTTCATAACTAACGATTGGTAATATCAAATGGACTTTTGATTTTCTCATACTTTCATGTTCTAAAATCTGTAGTCTAAAAAGCTACAATGTACATCCCAAAATGATGTTACTCCATAAAACGAAGATTAATATCAAAGACGTTGGACATCGTCACGATTACAGGAAAGAGGCTATGAAGCTGGCAAGAGGACGCCACGATGTTCAGGCTCTAGTCATGTTAATGAACGTCTTAAGTGGACCGATGACGATTCCGAGTGTTTAGAGCTCCAAGATTTGATCTTGAAAAGGAAATCCCAGTAGGACTTTGCAACTAGAATTAACATCCAAGAGCAGAAGACTAGTCACTCACTTCCTTTTACGCAAAGCAGTTCAATTATGCCTTCATTATTGTTCACCCTTTCGAGAGATCACAAGTTTCACATTGAAGAACATATTCACAGAGTAAAGTCATTTGATACTACAAATATTTGGAACATCTCTTGAGCTACAACAATAAACCAAAACAAGGTATGCACATCTACTACTCGCGACCCAAAACTTTGGAAAAATGTTTTTATCTGTTTTTGTCAATGTCAAGGTGTAGCCCAGCTTGCATGAGCTCTTGTAACCATCTCTAGTTAGTTAGAACTAAAGTAGAGGTTACTCTAAATATTGATATAGATTCTTTAGTGTGCACTTGTCATAGCTGCCACGTCAGCGATCCGCGCACTTGGTAGGTATAGAGTGGATGTGTTAGTTGACAATCCGTCAGCAATCAGTGTGCTTGTAGGTAAGTATTGAGTGTTTTAGTTAGTGTGTTAGTTGGGAGCGCAACGTCAGCAATCCGTGTGCTTGTTAGAGTTATCCACCACGTCATCCATCCACTAGGAGTGGGATGGATGGTGAACATAAGATCTTATCTCCTTGTACTTGTTGGTGAGAGCTATATAAGGGAGAGTAGAACTATTGTTGGTATCTCTCATCTTCAAAGTTTACGTTTCTATCTTCGAGTGAGCTTCTCTCTAAACTCTAGTGTTACAATGGTATCAGAGCAAACTTGCTCTTTCCTTGAGTGTGGATTACACCTCATGTAATAGCAAGTGAGTGATGATAAAGTGCAGTTTTGAAAGTGTATAGAGGCTGGCAGAGGTCATTCATCTGCATGTAGAGAGAGGTGGAAGGGGGAAATTGTGGTTTTGCAGATATGGACGGGATTGACAGGAATCCAGTACCGCACATGCCAATTCCTAACCTATTTGATATTCACCTTCGTTGCATGGAGAAAATATCATTTTTGGATGTACCTTGTGGCTTGTTGGGGTACAGATTTTATGACTAGAGTGATGGAATCGAGAGTGCCACTGATTCTTCCAATAATTACTTATGAAAAGACTTGGTATTATACTATATACATTCTATACTGAATGTTTCATCGATTTGAATCGCGAACCACCTGTCCCGGTATGGTTCAGCACTTATGTAAAGATTAAAACAGTATATCGACAGAAGAGTATATGGAGAGATTTTCTTGTGAGGAATTATGGAGAGGAGTACTATAGAGCTGTGATAGAATCACCTGCACCTTTTATGACTCCTTTGTTGAGAGTTCACATAGTGATTATACTCACTTTGTATTAGAGGGAGTGTGAGAAAGCATGGGGACATCAATCGATATGGG